GGCTATTTCCCAACCTGAACTGTCATATTAAGTACATAATAACTGTTAAGGAAGTGACCACCTCATCTGACCAACCTGAACCTAATACTTCGTTAAATGAAGTTGAAATGTCATACTTTCGAACTTTTCACTTGCAAAATAAGTTGATTATTACTTTGTGATTTTGAATAAATAATTTTCCAATCCCAATCCCAATAAAATTTTAAAGAATTACTAATTTGATTCTAAAAAATTATTTCAATTGAATAAATGAAACAATTTTGTTGCAAAAATTTTAAAAAGCGCAACTTCTGGCGTAAGATCACAGGTTAAGCCAATTTAGACAAAAGTTTAGAAAAATATACCTTCAGTGTCTGTGTACCTAATAACTTTTGTTTTTGTCAAAGAAATTCAATTGTTTCAAATACTAAAAGAAGTCCATCAAAAACTTTACTCAAAAATGCAAGAAACATTGTATGTAGGTATAAATTTTCAGTCACTTCTGAGACAGCCTATAATGCCTACCTACAGATAATTCTTCAGTTTTCGACATTTAATTTAATAATAAAAATTAATAATTCTTCTAATGATACTACATACACTGTGAACAAATATATGGAACCAAGCGTTTGTTTTTCAATCATTTGCTTTCAGAAAATAATAATTAATAAAAAATAAAATGCTATAAAAATGTGATCGTATTTTAAGAATGAAATTTTGTTTTCTTTTTAAGTTATGCGATTTTTTTTAAATGGTAACTTATATGTATATGATTTTTTTGATAAAAGTTGAATAAATTGTTGATGCCTGGTAGTAATCCATAAATCATAGCCTTTGTAAAAAAAGTTTTATAGTGAGTTATTGTCATTTGAAAAAATTAATATTTTTTAAATAAATAGTACAAAGTGGTTATAAATGATATTCATCTAGCCGCAGCTGTGAAATTCCATGTAAAATAAAAAATGCCGCTTTACAAAAATAGGGGAACCTACTTGTTTTAACTCAAAATTAAAAAATCGCCGTTTACTAAGCGTTCACTTCGAAAATAGACTTCAATTATAAACTTGTTTTTTTCCAAAATATACATTATTATCAATTATTTTTGGAAATTAGTTGAAACAATAAAAGTTTAATTAACAACAATCTATTATTAATTAATAAGTGACACTAATGACAGAACTACAGCTTTCAAAAAAAGTAGAGCGGCACAAATAAAGTTACATGCAAAAAAATTCCAAAGCTGGCTAGATGAAAATCATTTATAAGCTGAAAATCACTCCGTATAAGCAAAGAACCCTTGGTTCCATACTTTCTTTTCTTCTGGTTTGTTTATTTACGTAATAATTTATTTTAGCTACAAATCGTTGATAACATAAAATTGAAGCAAATTGAAGTAAATTCGTGCAATTTAGATGAATATAAAAATAGTAAATAAATGATTCATGACAGCCGCCTAGGGATGGAAATGATTATGATGTGCATCATAAATCTATTGACATAAATTTATATAGAATGCCTGCTGAATGTTTATTAAATCAAAAAAGTATTACAAATTGACACAAATAAAAAGCAATTACTCATTTTACTAGGTATACATACCTACTTGTTCCAAAAAGTGTATATAATATTTGCAGAAAAATGACGCTTTTTGTGAGAGTATTTCATGGCCAAATTGTTTAGTTTACAAAGTTTATTAGACAAAAATGATATGACACAAAGTGCGTAATTTAAAAAAATAATAAACGAACGGCAAAGATTAGTTCCCGCTTTCATTTCTTGTTACTTCAATAGCGACAACAATAGAAGCTTGAGTGGGACCGCTGAAGCCGTCACATTTACATAATTTGACAGAGAAATTTACTCCCTGACTAATTTATGACACTCGAGGGTGAGTTTATATAACAGGCCCGTTAAATGTGCCATAATGCCTTTGAGTTAGCAAATTAAAATTAGAATTAGAATCTCAACCATTCCCAAACAGATTTGCAATTCCTGTTTCCGGTCGTTTCAGTCCGCCATCTGAAACAACAGTAATTACACATTCGCACATGCTGAAAATTTTCAGCAACGCAACTAATTTTGTCCAACAAAAGAACGATGAATAACGATTTTCATGAAAATTTTCGTCGAGTTTTCGCTATTCAATCATTTTCGGGGATAATGGGCAGTAGCGTGGGCGTGTTTTGGTCAGAGGTTGCAAAGTACATGTGTTTTTGTCAGATAATAGATAGTATATCTCTAGAGGGCGGCGATTTGCTATTTGTCATAAGCATCCTGCCAACTTTGGTCATATGAATTACGGTTTCTTATTCTTGTAATGTTGTTATCTTGTTCGGACAGGGGATGTTATTTATTGCTTCGGTTTGTGAGAGTTATGTACATTTTTATGACATATGGACCAAATAAAGACCTTACAGTAAATTATAGACTTTCACGTTAAACTTGTATAAAATAACAATATCATAACTAATTACACATAATAATCATTCGAACGCTGTGAAGACGTTTATTGACACAATTTATTCAAATACAAACTTTATTTCCCTTGAAGACAAGTTTTTGTATAAGATGCAAACTAACAAATCTAAAAAAAACTATTCAATTACTTCAAAAATTAATTTCAAAGTAATTAACTAATTTTTTTGTGAATTAAGTTTACAGTTATTTTTCTTAATGTTAATTTTATTCAATTTTTTTTAATAAAAATAAAGATCATCATAAACAGGGTGTTTCACATTATTTTACGAGACCTGCGCCTGTAAGATGCAATCAATAATACATATTCCGATACGAACTCGATTACAAAAACTGCAGTTTATGACTATTAATGAAACGGTGATTAGTTTGACAACTACTGTCATGGGTTTCCAAAAATTAAATAATTAAATGTATCCAGTGTTCTGTGACTTTTGTATATTTGGGTGCGTACATTAGGCGCAAGCCTCGTAAAGTTATGTGAAACACTCTTTACAGGTGCGCCAGAACTCGCGTCCCATTAGAAAAAAATTTCAAGTAAGATAAGATACCAAGAACATGGAAAAAATATTTAAAAAATTCTATCTATCAAAAAATTTTGACACATATTTTTTGACATTTGACATTTTTTTATGTCTATTTAATGATACGGATGATCTTGTATATGTTTTTTTGCAATTATTTAGTAAAAGTACAAAAATTTTGCCAATAAAAGCCACAAATAACATTGAACAGACAGAGTTACAATTTAGGATACAGCTTTCTTGTTTCCTCTTCTAATGGCTTGTAGCAAAAAAAACTTGGAAAATTATTTTTCCAACAGAAATAAGTAGAGTCAAAGTGCAAAATTGAAACTCTCATAACTTTAAACATTTTTTCCATGTTCCTCGTATCTTACCTTATATGGCATTTTTCTTAGGGGCACGAGTTCTGGCGCACCTTGTAGTACTCTTTTTAGTCTTATGGGGTCTGCTTACAAAAATGTAACTATAAAATCAAAGTTTATTGGTTTAATCCTCATTTAAATTTGTAATTAGTCTTTATATTATGTCTTTTGAGTACAAATATAAATGTACTTAATTCTAATTCTAATTACATATTTTATATTTCATTCAATTATTGTTTATCTCTTCTCCAAATTTTGGTAATTTAAAGTATCATAGCGTTCATCAAATTACATACGGTAGTCTCAAGCATAATTGATATCATTTATGATAAAAAGAATGGTTGATTAAATTTTTTATCGTATCATCATCTACAGGATGCGCCAGAACTCGCGCCCCAGAGAAAAATTTCAAGTAAGGTAAGATACCAGGAACATGGAAAAAATGTTTATAAAATTCTATTTGTCAAAAAATTTTGACATTTATTTTTTGACATTTGACATTTTTTCATATCTATTTAATGATACGGATGATCTTGTACAGTGAAGGACAGTGAATTTCGTCCACCCAATTTCTGTGAATTCACAAAAATTCACTGTAGTCTGTGCTTTATTGTCATAATAACTGACATTCAAATACGTATTGTCAAACATGCCAGCAGTAAGTGCGTTTAATAAAATAGAAATTATCTCTCTGGTACAAGAAGGTATGTCTCAAAGACGTGTCTCTTTACTTTTGGGCATACCAAGGACCACCATTTCAAAGGACAAAGGTAAAAAATAGCAAAAAGCATCGAGCATTCTGTCAACATGACAAACGTTAATCAAAATTATGAAACAAGGTTAGGTAAACCTAAAGACTAATTTACACTTTTAATCTGTCAGGGAAATTGGGTGGACGAAATTCACTGTCGAACACTGTATATGTTTTTTTTTTTTATAATTATTTAGTAAAGATATAAAAATTTTGCCAATAAAAGCCACAAATAAGATTAAACAGAGATACAATTCAGGTTACAGCTTCCTTGTTTCCTCTTTTAATAGCTTGTAGCAAAAAAACTTGGAAAAGTATTTTTCCAACAGAAATAAATAGAGTCAAAGTGAAAAATTTAAACTCTTATAACTTCGAAATTTTTATAGATAAAATTTTATTATTCTGATTCAGTGAAAAAAAAATCTTTTGATTTTGGACTTTCACTTTGACAATTAATTTATTAATTGAATAATGGTAGTTCTTGTTCAAAATAACTTTGTTTCTTATCTTAAAGCTGTTTCTTTGAGTTCCCATTTATTAAAATTATGTTTTTTATAAACATTTGTTTATTTAACTTGCGTCAATTCATTTGTCAAAGTGACATCGTTGTTTAAAAAATGAAACCGCTAGTGTGATTGGATTTAAAATGCAGAGAAAAATTAACTTTTCTTTCCACTGAGTTAGAATAATGAAGTTTTAATTACAGATTTGCTGATTTCAGGTAAAGTAAAAGACGTTTTTTTTACAGTTTTGGCGTAAAATCAAAGATATTGTTTTTTCCTCTTGTAAACTCAATCCGCGGGTAGAATTGGTTTTATCAGTTTATCACTGATTTTCAAAACAAAAATGTTCTATCTGCCCTAATCCTTATGCAACCAACAATTCACTTGGAAGAAATTTCATAACATAACCTCATTTTTTTATGTCATTGTAACACTCGCAAGAAAACAAACTTTTTTACAAAACACAGTTATAGAACTAGCCCATTTCAAATATTTATGATACTTATTATAATTTGTTTATGTTTTGTGAGTGCAGTGACGAATACGAGCCGGCCAGTTATTTATTAGTTTGTAACCAATTTTTGTTGAATATTTAAAATACTTCCATTATCGGTGATACTAAACCAAATTCTTGTTTTAATCCCAGTGACGTGTCTAGATTTTCTAATATTTTAACAATACACATATCAACTGATAATTCAATTTTAAAATGCTGAAGTGTTAAACCAACATGGTTGGTCTAATTCCAGTACTTGGGAAAAATCGTTTTGCTGTTTGTTTAATCCATATAAATGGAGACATACTGTGATCATGTTGATGCCGACGATGAAAACTTACTCCTGGATGATGAAAACACTGCTAAAGCCTGCACTAAATGCAACAAACAGCCCGAAAATTTGACCATTAACGCTTCTTCCAACAATTCTTCCAATGGTATTGTAACAATCGCTCCCATGGATGACCACATTGACACCCTGGAAGATTCACCCCTTCTCATTAATGTAAGTATGGCCACGTAAACCCCAAAACTTCATAAACAAATTCCAGGATTGTTACCAAGACGAATTTCATTGCCACAATAATTTGCAACAGACTGAAGACAAAAAAGCCTGGAAGAAACTCTTAATTGCATCAATTCTGTGCTTCTTTTTTATGGTGACTTGAGAAATCAAACGAATTAAATAATCACTTTCCAATTTAAGATTACAGAATTAATCGGCGGTTTTATTGCCGGAAGTCTTGCCGTAATGACAGATGCGGCTCATCTTTTTTCAGATTTTATCGGCTTTCTCATTTCGCTTTTATCTATATGGGTGGCACGGAAGTCGCCTACGAGAAATATGACGTTTGGGTTTTACAGAGCGGAGGTATTGGGGGCGTTTTTGAGTGTGTTGACCGTTTGGTTACTTGCCGGCGTCTTTGCAGTACTTGCGATTAATAGACTTTTGAAAAAAGAGTATGATATTGATGCAAATACCATGATGCTGGTTGCTTCATTGGGCCTGGTTGTAAATATTGTGTGAGTTGATTTGTTACAAGGGGTTTGTCATTAAAACTCTTTAAAAAAAAGGGCTAAAAACTTCCTAAGATGAATATTTGTTTTTTAAGAATTTAGAGTTTTGATAGTTGAAAATATCAGTAAAATGGCTTAAACTTTTTTTTATAATTGTCGTTTGAAAGATCATTTAAGAAAAAAATTGTTTTGAAAATTTGATAATCTTTTTCATACTTTTTTATTATACCTGGATCATAATCCTAAATTAAAACAAGCTGCAGCGTGCGTAATTTGGCCTTTATAGCACGCTGAAATTTTGAAGTTGTCTAGGTAACAAGAAATAGTGAAATGTCTGGACCAACTACAACGTGAAAAAATGTGCTTAACAACGTAAATTAGTAACTGTTTCTACGAAAACGATTCACAAACAATCTTTGATAATTTTATTCTGTAAATTCACATTTTTTCAATCCTCATAAAAGATCGTAAATGGGCAGATATAATAAAAAGTAGCGTATAACACTCGTTTATAAGCGCCTTTAAAACATTTATGGCGTTAAAAGCACTCCGCTGACGCGTCGTGCTCTTAAACCCGTCGTGCGTGTTTTAAAGGCTTGCTTATAAACTAGTATTATAATATACTACTTCAAAACCCCCAAAAAAGAGCCCACATATTGTTTTTTTTTGGAAAAAGATCACTAATGAGTAATGACCAACCCTGTCCTTGAGTTCTGATGATAATCTTAGCATTTTAGGATGGGGGCTGTCCTTTTCGGTTTCTGCCACAACCACAGTCACGGCCTTAGCGACCAAAGCAATTCAAATATTAACGTGCGAGCTGCAGCAGCTCACGTTTTAGGTGACCTTTTACAAAGTTTAGGGGTGCTTGTAGCTGCGATTATTATTAAAGTGTTTCCTAACGCCAAAGTGGCCGACCCTATTTGCACTTTAATTTTTTCAGCAGTTGTTATTTTTACAACTGCTAAAGTTGCAAAAGACTCCATTTGGTTGTTACTAGAAGGAAGTCCAAAACATTCTGGTGATTTAGCATTTGAGTTATCAAACATTTCAAATGTTAGACATCTTCATAATTTACATATTTGGACTTTATCGCCTGGGAAAGATGCCGTTTCGGTCCATCTGTGTGTTGGTAAATCGCCATTTATATTACTGCTTTAATTCCAGTCATTATTTTTTTTAGATAAATACTGTAATCGTGATTCTATTTTAAAGAAGGCTACTTCACTCATTAAGAGTCGATTAAATGTGATAAGTTGTACTGTTCAAATTGAAACTTACAGTTCAGAGTTGATTAATTCGTGTAAATTTTGTCAGTCAGTTCAGTGCTGACAAAGTTCTAGGTCAGACCGTTTCAGACAACACACAAATTTGTAAATGTTTTATTTTCTTTATTTATTACAATAAATGTCATTGGAAGAGCAATCACTGTCCAAATTGTTGCAAATTTTCTATTTCATAATAACCACAGCAGTTTTTATAATACTGAAATAAAGTGATTGAATAAATTGTCGTTTTAAAAATCCCATTCGCAGGAATATAACTCCAAGTCAGCAAACTGTTGCACAACGTCTAAATTCGCAACTTCGTCTACAAAAATCAAATCAAAAATTTTCAACTGTCAGACATTAAAGTTACCTGTGTTAACGGCTACTCTATTACTAAGGGGCATAGCAGGCTTAAGTAAATCAGGCAGAAAAATTCCTTTCTTCGTTAGTTTAAAAATAGGATGTGTGAGGAGTTGACTAGCGGTGGGACGGATAACTGCTTCCTTTTGTAAACAAAGAGTTGCGAGTTCGTGAAGATCCTCCGAAAATCGTCTGTTAACTACATTATTACTTATATCACAATCACCTGCAACAAGCTTTTGTCAAAATAAATTTCAATAATTTGAGAAAGTTTCATTTAATTCATATACAAATCCACTACTATAAATAAACAAAGAATGAAATTTAAAGATGTTAAAAACTAACCATGAACTTCGTTATTTTCATCTGTAGGTACTGTAGTACAGTCTAGCAGTTGTGGAACACAGCCTCTCACTTTTTCCGTCAACATTAAGGTCGTTGAGACTCCAGCATATGGTTCTGCACCATTTGCCAGCTCGCAAATTACCATACCCACACTATAAATATCCGATTTTTGATTATAGCCTTGAACAAATTCAATTAGAACAGAAAATAAGCTAAAAAATAGTACCCTGCAAATTTTGTTCCAAGAGTTCGGGACTAAGCCAGTTTAGATTCCTCGCTGTACTCATTGGAAACGAATGAATCTGTTTTTGCCATTTACCATTCAAAACAATAGGACAGGCGTACCGTAGCCCAGTAAGACAAGCTTTCCCTGATGCAGAAATCAAAATGTGACCAGCCCTGACTGACCTTGAATAATTAAAGCTTAATACTCGTTTGCATGGAGCAACATATTAAACAACCTGTGAATAATCCCTTTCTTGTGTATGTAGTCCAGCGCATCAAGCAAATCCCTTAAAATTAAAACTATAGCGTGTTCAGGAAGTCCTTCATTAAAATGCGTATTTAAAAGATCACGACATGACCCAAAAGCCATCAGAGGACTCACAACACACACTTCATGCAAATGTACAAACGCCACAAAGTAAGTTATAATGTTTGGATGCTGGAGCTGTTTTGTGAGAATGATTTCTCTCTAAAACAGACTAGACTAGCACTAGTACACTCGAAGAAGTTTCATACCTCGACTAAGTGCGCTTCGTGCTTTATTCGGTCCATGTTAAAGCGTTTTATGGCAACCATAGTGCCCGAAATTTTGTGTTTTGCCAAGTTGACCACTGCCATTCCTTCGAAACATTGGCCCAAAGTTGATATTGTTTCGTAAGCTGATATGTTTGCTTCATAATTAACCATTTTATCAGGATGTTTTAGTCTCTCACAAGAGGTTTATAAACAATTTTATATGACATATTTAAATTTGAAATGACTTAACCTAAAAGTTGACCATTCTGACGTTTCGTGCAACAAAAAGTGAAATAAATCGATGTTTTTACAATATTTAAAATATAGTGACGTACTTTTCAAATATGTTATTGAAATGTAATGAATAAATAACACGTATTGGATAATTTACAACTTTTAAAAATGAACTAACATAACCTACCAACTGACATCTGACGTTTTAATGACATGTGCTAGGACCTTGAAAGAAAAAACTCTTTTCTTCTTTATTTTTTATTAAAATAATAAATATGTTAACATGGAAGATTTAAGTAACGGATAATAACAATAATCACAATTCTTCATTAACTTTTTTCCCACAAATTGCCGATTCTTCAACACATACCTTTTTGTGAATATCCTTAGTGTCGCTTTGGAAGTGTTTAATAATATTTTCTTCCAATTCTTCCATAATGCCCTCACACTGAAACGAACTTATGTCAATCCAAAAGCCTAAATTAGCGAATATCATACATAGTATTTCAAACTCTTGTTTAAATCATCATCTTGGACTAAATTCACTTCAGACATGTCATTGTTCATTTTCCCATCCTCAGTAATCAGTTTCAACAAAGTCAATGTTCCGTTTGATTTCCACGTAGCCCTCACATAATCGTCCATTTTCGTACAAATATCTTCAATCATTTCGGATAAATGAACCTCAGATTTGGCTTGAGAAACAGATTTGTGTCTGTAATTGCCATCTGAATCAAGCCTATAACCTCCAACGTCGACGGTTTTAGTTGGATCGATTTTATTCACTGCTTTGTGTAATTCATCTAAACTAGTTTTACATACTGGAAATAACTAATTTAAAAACACCACAACAGAATACAAAATTCATACCTAAACACCTCAACTCTTGAGCATCAATTTTTTGTGCTTCACCTGTGTGATAACAGAAGAGTGTTACTAGAACTAGTACTATTTTCATTTTATTATCAGAAAAGTGTTGCACTTATTCAAAATAAAGTATCGAGAATAATACCTTCGCGGCTTATTTTCTTCAAAATAAAACTGGTTGACGTTCATAATTTTCTAATGACACGTTTCTACATTCTGATTGGTTAATATTGGCTTAAATTGATAAAACTTGCTCCAATGGGGTTTCCCAATTTATTTAAACCGAGAATTTTTTCACACTTGTGTTTAATCCTTCTTGGTTTAAAACGTCGTAAAACTTATTAATTAAAACTGATGCCTGGGATCCTGAATAAAATCGTTTTTATTAGTAGTCAATATCTAGGTATTTTGGAAAATTAATTGAAACTGAAATCAATTGAATTCAATTTAATTGAATCTTTCTCCTTCTGTCGTTTCTAGACTTATTCGCAGGCCTGTATTGGGGCCGTTTTGATCCCGAGCATAAATGTGACCCACATATGACCTCAATAATCCAATTATCTCGAAGTATGCAACTCAAAATACAATCCAAGTGAAGAGATCCCCTTTTTTTACAGTTTTATACATTGCTTTTACCTATTTCTCAAAAAGTTTTAAAACCATATTTTGAAATTGCCAATTTTTCAAATAAAATAAAATTAGGTAACAGCATTTGTGCTGTGACAGTCCTTTCAACATACAATGCTATTTTTTTCAAATGTTTATCACCCTGACTTTTTTTCTTGAAGATTTGATCACGAGAATGGAATTTCCACCGAAATGCTCATTTCTGTCTGCCTGTAGTCAACATGGAAAATGGGTCTTATGGGTGTTATTCAGGCGATGCACTCTTTTTACTTTTTAATATAAAATTCCTAATTTATTAATTAACTTCAAGTTAATTATTTATCAAGTCCGCAGAAAAATATTTATTTCATTTTGTGCTTTGTGATTTTTTTTTTTAAATTTGTATTTCATTCAGAGATAATTTATAAATAAAATCTAGTGAAACTATAATATAATTTTACCTTCTTACAATGGGAACTTCTTCGTACCTATTACAATAAAAAGGTAATAACGACAAAGACGAACGCACTACATTCTTTTGTAACAAACTTAATTTCTTTTAGACAATTTATTGATTATGTGACAGTGTATAGGTACTTTTAAAGGTACAATTACAAATTATTGTAAACTATATACAACAATCCCGGGCATTGCTTCCTGGCTTTTTAAACAATTGTTAAGTATATGTTTTTGAATGCATTATCAATAATAATTATACTAGGTGAATAAAAAGTATGTAACCAAACGTTTTTTGCTTAAACTATTTATTTTTTGAAAAAACTAATTGATGAGTGATAAAGTACTATAAAAATGTGATGATTTAACAAGAATAAAATTTTTCGAAATTTCCTTTTGTTTTTGAGTTCTACAAAAAAAAAATATTTTTTTAAATGGCAACCCACTATAAAATCATTTTTCTCATAAAATCTATACTCTAAGGATTACAACTATCTGCTTTATATTAAATTTTTTCAAAAAAATTTTTTCACATAAATTATAATTTTGACAAAAAAATGTCGCATAACTCAAAAATAAAACAAAATTTCGTTCTGAAAATACGATCACATTTTTTATATTACTTTAATTTATATTAATTATTATTTTCTGGAGGCAAATGATTAAAAATAAAACCGCTTGGTTCCATACTTTATATTCACCCTGTATGTAAGTAAAATGGTACGTGATAAAATGTTTACTCAAAAAGGTCAAAAAGGGACATGTTTCGGCAAAACTTTTGTTATTTAGAGCTCTAATTTAAAAAAAATAAATAAATAACACAGAGAAACAAAGTATTCGTGTAGAAAAAGTTAAAGGAATAAGAAGGCGAATGAAGTTGAACCTCTCTCCTGGAAATTTAACAACTTTTCCCAAATGTTTTTTTAAATGTAAAACTTAATGATAAATCTAATAACAATAAGTGTTGTAGTAAGAGCGGGAGTTTGTGTACAAACCTACAAAGTTCGGTTTAGGCCTCAAACACTTAAGATCCCACACTAATCGACTAATGCGGCACTGCTTTCGTCCTTTATTTTGTTTTTTACCAAATGGCGGGTATTTTTAAAAAATTAACAACAGCGCCACCGTTACGTTTGTATTGAACTAACAGCAAGCATCAAACAAACGTCTTACGGATCAGACAATTGATTCGAGGGGCGGTCGGTAGTCCCCGAAATTAAAAAAATCCGTCATTTGACCATTGTATAATTTTCCCTTCATTGGGAGAACAGTCTGTGATACGTTGTGATGTTTGTGTGTAGGTTTCGTGTATTTTGATGCTCTAGAAGTTTAAAAATTTGAAAGTGGGCTAAGCGACCAACCATCCCAAATCGATGGACTCGTCCAAACAAGCTCCGAGATTTGAAGCAGCCAGTCAGTCGACAATCGGTCATCGTTTCGGGTGGTACGGAACAGAATGTGTCAGAATTTTCTTTTGATGAATTCTAGTGTTTTCCAATTATTTCCCAGTGAAATTATCGCGGATCGGTTGCAATTGTACGGTGCATCGCCGGCACCAGTCCGAACGGAAGAACTTTCCGCGAAAGAGGCTTTTGTAAGGTGAGTGACATATTTTTAACTTTTCACATTGACACAACTGTTGTGTAATTGTAAACTCCGACTCAGCGTCGTTTTTCCAGCATTTCTCCGCATCTCTCGTGTTTTTTCCGCGATTTCGGCGTCGGCGTTCCAAAATTAGCCTCGGTCGCGGGAGCCGCCACTCTCCCCCCGTGCAAATTTCGTACGTTTTGTCCATCTGGCAACGCTTTTTCGCCGAAAAATCTGCCGACCTTTCGACAATTACGAAATTTCGATGCAACATTTTGTATTTGTTTACTGACAAAGAGTCGCGTCCGATTTTCGGCTTTATGAACTTTCGCGTTTGGGTCGATTCGGTTGGAGCGCCTCGCACGTCCGGTTCCCTGCCCTTCCACTCTCCTATCGATTCCGCCGTTGGCCAATCGGGAGCCTGGCTTGCTAGATCGCGGGAGCGAAGTCGACGTGCGATGTTGCCACCGCCGCGAATTACTCATGCACATAGCCGTGGCAACGTTGCCACGACTGAAATGCCGAAAAATGGCCACCAGAAACGACACGTGACGAAATTTTTATGCGGGCTTTCTAAAACTTTGACGCGCGGTTTTTATCCCGACTTCAAGGTCACCCGTGAAAGTTGACTTACCGTTTGCATAGACGGTTTCGGGACTGGTTTATAATATTTATCTTATTATTTCACGAGTGGCATAATGATAAGAATTGTTACCCAGAGTTGTTTTTTTTTTCGGGGAGAAATACCGACGCCATTATTGTTCAGAATGACGCGATAAGTAACTGCGTAGCAGTTGGTATAAATGCTACCGGTTTTGTTTATGCCAGAAATAAATAAGTGGGCGTGTCGTTTTGCGGATCAGCTGAATTGAGAATCTTCAACATGGTATCGAAAGACGTTCTATGAAAGGAGTCTCCCATATTTTATCTTCGAATATCATGTTAAAACACTAAAAAACATGTGTAATTTTGACTTTGATGAACGAAATATTTATTGGATTTTGTTTACGTAACATTTTACTTTGAGGTTATGTCGAAATAAAAAGTCATCGTTATCGTTTCGTTTAAGTTTAGAACAGCTTGCAAAATGAAAAATACCCTAGTCATCTCTTTTCACCTTTTCATTTATTCAATAAGGGTTGGCAAAACTGTTATGTTCATTTTGTTTAACTAAATTATTCATTTATGGCAATATTGATAAAAATCTAAGCTTCGGTATAATTTTATATGTAAAAATATACCTTTATGTATAAGGCAGTAAAATAAATAACTTAATTTTTTTTTGTTTTTTTTTTCTTCTTTTTTATGTTATACTTTTTGACTAAATAAGATGAAAAAATTGTAGTTAATTTGGTCTGTTGTAATCAACAACAAATGTTTCATTTATTATTATCAGAGATCGAGTTATAATTTTTAACTTAATTTAAAAAAAAAGCATGTTTACACTGACGTCATGGTCTCACCTTAATAAAAAAATGAATCCACAATAAAAAATTAATTCTTTGTCACTAGTTTAGTTATACTTGAATTCGGTGTTTTCGAATGTGAAACCTTGTTACTATGATTGGAAAATGTTGGAAAAGGGACTGAAAATTTAAGGTTAAGGACTGCTCTACTGCTTTGAATGTTTAGAAAGTGTCAAAAATTTGTTGTCCGGCATGGTACATAAGTTCCAAACTCAACAAACAAAAAGAACAGAAATCTATACTCGTTTTCATATTAATGTGCATCAAAGTAGTCGTTGAAAGAGATCATTTTAAGGTGGCAACCATGCGATCTTCAAGCAATTCTAAACTCAGTCTTCCTCAGGTAGCAAAAAATAATTAAAATTAGCAACGTAATTAACATAGGGTAGCAAATGTAAAGATTTTTGTCATTATTAATGTGATTAGATTTGTTCTGAGTGACATTAATGACACTTTTTGTGTGAATCTGCCTTTAGATTAAAGATTCATTTAGACTACTACAACCTACTTGATGCACATTAATATGAAAAAGAGTATATTACCAAAATGAATTAGATCTAACTTGGCTACATAACTTAGCAACGGGTTATTTAAAATTTAAATATACATAAACTTCGTTTGAAGTTGGTTTACACAGTCAAGGTCAATTTTATTGAAGAAAAAAATACCCTGTGCACAATAAGTGCAGGCTTAATTGTCAAAAAGTTTTTAAGGTCACGAGAAAAAATAATTGTAATTTGGATTTCTAGTATTTCTAAATACATTTTTGCTTATGAAATGCAATTTTACATTAATGTATACCTATAAGCTCTAAAAATTGTTAGGCGGACTAACAACTCTACAAAAATCATACATTAATACGAGTGAACAGAATTAGCTATAATTATATTTTTTGTGATAATAATTAGAAATGTATACCTAAATTTTTGTTTTTTATGCAAATAGGATATTACGAGTATATCACAAGGTAGAGAAGAGATTTTTATAGCCGAGCTGTTTATAAATAATAAATGCGAGGCTATAAAAATCTTCTCTACAGTGTTTTAAAAAGATTTTTTTCACTACTAGCACATTTATTACCCAGAAATACGTTGAAAAATATATCTCTACTTAATGGACATATTGCCTAGACGTAACATGTCGTATTTCATAACTACTATTAGTATTACCTACAGTAATTAATTACTTACCTCAGTTATCAACTTAATTTGGAAGTATTATTTTATTCTTATCATAAATGAGGTTATGTCATTTTTGTACTTCTGTAACTATTAAAGGAATTTTCTAACTTCATAATATGAAATATTTGTTAAAATAATAAAGCTACTGCAAGAAAGGTAAAAAGTGTTGAAATTTGCCTCATTACCGGATAGTATTTTAACAAGAATAAATCCATTTGTTGTTTTGACCGTTTTCACATAGACAGAAGCATTAGAGTAGGGGTTATTCTGATATTTTTAATGAGGAAATTTAAGTTTTTTATTTCATTAATTTATTTCATTTATTAATTTCATCTCGAAATACTTCCGTTAGTAATCGAAATGGCAATAGTTTTCAATAATAATATTCTAGAAATATTTGTATTAATGTAATACTCTCCAACATCAGAATTTACACACCTCTAATTCATTATAATCTTTGGTGTATAATGAAAATGATTATTGACTACTAGGAGAGAAAACAACTTCACAACCTCTCAACAAACTAAATAATGGTATCTTTTAAAGCTAGTAGTGAAAATAAATACATACATACTTTTATAAAGAGACCTGTAGTTTATTTGATGATGTTTCTGTCATTTTGAATTCATTAATGTTCTTAATTTCAAATTGTTGTTAGAAAATAAATTCAGTTTTTTTGAGATATAAATAAATTAAATTATTATTAAATTGTCGAGTGCTGTAACGTTCTGTAAATGGACCCTGAATTTTTAATGAATTTGTTTTTTTCTTTTACTTTTTTATTCAATTTAAGTACAATTTCAATGTATTAAATATAAATCACAATTTGTATGTTTTCATCACCTTAAAAAGAAGTATGAGAACGAATTATAAAGGCCAGTTTATAAATTATTGTTTAATGTAACCCTTGTTTACTAATTGTTAAAAGGTAAATATTTATAAATGTGACATTTAAAGTCAGTTTTCTTGATATAAGCCGTATGTTGGTATTGTTGAGTGCTACATGATGGTACCACTTTAATTACTTGGCTTCAGACAACTTTTAAACATTATATCTTGTCACGAAATGACTTTGTTGAAATACTAACAGTGCTAACACTGCAGTATTATATCATAGAAGTATTCAAAATTGAAATTTTTAAGTTTGAAAGTATGCAATTTACATCACCAATGTTTTTTTTTTGATAGTAAATAGTTTAGAATTTGTGTAAAATAGTAATTCTTGCATAACATTGCATGTAGTGTCGTTTTTCGTGCGAGAATGAACCTGTTTAAACATGAAAATGCTAGAGGTTATAATAAAACGAGGGAAATAATTTAGTAAATAGTCTTTGCGAAATTGCGAATTTTGTTAAAAGTATAATTATCTGTCAACTTGTATTCTACTTTAATGGTATTCATTTATCTACGATTAATAGTTATTATATTGCGTAAAATTAAACTATAGCTAGTCTGTTTTTGATTTTGGTATGTATTTTATACATATACGAGTACGTTAAGAAAAGGTCAGAAATAATTACAAAAACTAATCTTACTGTAACGTGCTGAAATAATGTTCGTACATTGGTGGATAGAATAAAAAACGAAATTGTTAAAAATTAATTTACACAATCACAATAATTAAATGTATTGGAAATGATAACTGGCATTACATGTAGTAAAAATGTAATTTCTATTGGAAACCAATTTATAATGGAATGTTTAATAAAAATGCTTAGTGGTTAACATTTGTTTTTTTTTTTCTAGACAACATAATTATGTATTAAAATATCAAGTGAGAAAATAAAAAACTTATCATAAACATATTTTTCATTGTATGTCTGTAAAGACAACATATTCACAATTGATCATTTGTTATTTATTATACAGGAGTCTGGAAAATTGCACGCCCCCTTGAAAGGGAGTAAATTGGGTAGTCCCCCAATGACATTTATTTTTTGACATTTTTTTTGTCTATTTAATGATACTGATGATCTTGTAAATGTTTTTTTATAATTATTTACAAAGGTACAAAAATTTTGCCAATAAGGGCGACAAACAACACTAAGTAGAGTTACAATTTAGGCTACAGCTTTCTTGTTTTCTCTTGTAATAAATAGCCTGTAGAAAAAAAACCTGGAAAATTATTTTTCCAACAGAAATAAATAGTCAAAATGCAAAATTTAAACTCTCAGAACTTCGAAATTTTTATAGATAGATTTTTTTAAACATTTTTCTTGTTGTCTAGGGCACCGCCTGATGATACAGTGTCATGGAGGTGCGCGACTTTCCGGACACCTGTATATTTCTTTATATGATTTAGCTTTACTATTTTTTAAATTTTAATTATGATGTTAATGTTAATGCAATCAAAAAGCACTGTATCATGACACGAACACGTTTATTTTAATCTTATCACAGATGTATAACATCAACGAAATGTCTCTCACACACAAGTGAAAAGTTTAATAACCGTGGTTTTTAATTATCGACTAATCAAATGAAAGTATATTCGCACGTGTGTATCGAATCGAAATTCTAAAAAGAAAAGTCCGTTAATTCACTTAATAAAAATTATTCACACATTTCTATGATACGTAAACCGTAAAAGTTGAACATCTTCAAATGATTCTTAACCCAAGATCTTTCGTGTTTCACATAACAAAAATTAACTCTCATTATCAGCGTAATTGATTACGTTATGCGCATTAGCTCCTATCGAGCAATAATAACAATAATGGACGTATCATTAAATGGCGAACTGTAAACATCTTTCGTATTATTTGATGAAAACACCAATATAAACAATTTTATTTCCTGATATTTTGCAAAAATACGTATATACAATACAATTTTTGGTGTCAAGAGAAATTATGAGTTAATAAAGAGTAAATTTCTAGTTTACTATCGGTATCAGATACATCAGAGTCCGATTTCTGGTACGATTAAACTTCAGTTAACTGTTTGATCGTTGATAAGGAAGCGCTGATGTTATTGGTGTTGCCATGGTCTCATGGTTTAACTGAGGTTTAAATTTATCTCTTTGTTAAATATGTCCCAAAAACAGGGCCTTAAATGAGATTCAGTGATTCTCACGTTTTTAAAATAAACAAAATTATTTTTTAAGTGTTTAATTTTTTTTTTTGTAAATTTTCAGCCGCCTCGATGTAATTTGAAATGAAACGGCTGCGAGTGGATGAGACGCTGAAAGAAGGAAGTGTGTCTCCAGCTACAGCTGCTCTATACAGCATTACTCAGCAGCAATCGTCGACGACCTCGTCGTCATCATTGTCCTACTCGAGTGCTAGCAACGTAAAAGTGGTCAGTGAAGGAATGCAGTCGGGACTTTATCCGCCGCCTCCGGTGAGTTACGGCGCGATGCCGACGGCGACTGCGCCCCACTCTGGCAAAGCTTCCGCAGCGATGCAACCATTGTCCGTTGGCGGCGGTGGTGGTGGAGGTGGCGGCGCCCATACTCAATTACGCACCAGTGCCGGTTCTTCGCCGCCCACCGCCCCTCCTATGCAAGAAATGCAACAACAGCAGCAGCAGCAATCTCAACAGCAATCACCCGGCAGCAATTTTCAACGTTTGAAAGTCGAAGACGCCCTTTCCTATCTCGACCTGGTCAAGTATAAATTCGGCTCGAAGCCGCAAGTGTACAACGACTTTTTGGACATTATGAAAGAATTTAAGAGTCAAAGTATCGACACTCCCGGTGTAATCCAGCGCGTGTCGAACCTGTTTAAGGGTTTTCCTGATCTGATCGTCGGTTTTAACACGTTTTTGCCACCGGGATACAAGATAGAAGTACAGAAAAGCGACCAAGGATACGCCTTTCAAGTCTCAGTGAGCATGCCGAGCCCTACAGGTAACATGCCCTCCGATCCTCAACAGCAGAAAATGATCATGAGAGGTTCTGGTACGATCAACATGTCGAATTCATCGTCGGTATTGAACACGCTGCCGCCTTGCCAGCCGCTGTCGTTGACGCCGCAGCACGTGCCCACGGTTCAGCCTCAAGCGGCGGCACCGTCGATACCGCCACCCCCGGTGCCGGTCCATCATTCGGCGTCGAGTTACGGCAGTGGAGCGCCTACTTATAATAATACATCGATATCACTATCGGCGGCGCAAGTTGCCGTTAGTCAAGCGTTAGGGCATACGGATACGCCGCAGAATCAGCCGGTGCAGTTCAATCATGCCATCAATTACGTTAATAAGATTAAGGTAATTTGGAGTTTTCAATTGAATGCTATGTATTTGTATATTTGTTATTATTTTTTTATTTATTACATAAAAAAAAGTTAAACATTGTTGCTATAAGTACTAAATTACCAGTTAAATGATACATTTTTTTTTCATTCTTGAAAAAGAATATACAGGAGTGTTCCGTTTTTATTGTTACAAATTTAAACAGGTGATAGAATATTCAATTTTACGACAAAAGTTTCTTATGAACATGTATCAAAAAATGTTATGTAAGCGAGCTACAACCTCTAAAAGAAAAGTGTTTTTTAATGGAGTTATCCTACTATTGCAGAGTAGATAATAGTATATTAAAGAACAAGTTTTATAAGGGTTGATTTGGCGCACGAATCCCAAGTTAGAAAACGAGCCGTAGGCGAGTTTTCTATGGGATGAGTGCGTCAATGCCATTATAAAACGAGTATTTTACGCTATTTTTTTCTAATTTGCGCCCCCTTTTTTCTTATTTTAATTAAAAAAAAATATACATTTTTGTCGCCTAGAGAATTTTGTGTTATTTGGTATCGGTTGGTAACACTGGGCGCCCACCTGTTTTTTTTTGAGTCATTTCTGCCGTCTGTCTTTAAAAATAAAATTTACAAATTATTAGTTATTAGTGTTACAACATAATAATAATAAATAAAATATGAGAAATAGAATTTAGTTTGCACTCCGCCCGAAATTCGCGAAATTGCCCAAGCAACAACGCAAAATTTGTACCTGACAAGTCAGAAGCGGCATCCAAAAACTAAATAACCCTAAATTCATTAAAGCACAGTGTGCTTTTATAGATAGCCATAAACGACTCCTACTGGAGACGTTAATAAACGTATTATAAACGCAAATTAGAAAAAATTACAAAAGTTGGTACGGCTGATAACCTTTAAACACCTGAACGGATTCAAAAATCAGTTGTCGAAATTTTAAATCACGGGTGTTTTAAACAGTAAAGCAAATTTAATTTTTTATGGTCTGTAAGACAAGTTATAAACTAATTTTACTCAAAAACGATAAGTTGTATCGAAAAAAACGCAAGAGACCTCTTTTTTGTAAAAAAACATGAAATTTAGAATTTTGTGGCTGAAAGTGGCAAGAACCAACAGTCAAAGTTGTTAGGGTACTTTTTACTCTAAACCCCCCCAGTTGAGGACGCCCTTGAATAAAAACTTCCACGTTTTATCTGTGAATTCGTCTGGATGTATAAAAGTTATCAGTTGTACCAAATTTTGTAATTTTATCCACAATGGTTTCTGAAATATTAGAAAAAAACTGAACCCCTTTCAGAGGATGTAGCTCCCTTATATAAAATTTTTCGATACATGTTTATAGAAAACTTTTATCTTAAAATTGAATATTCTATCACCTGATCAAAATTTGTAACAATAAAAACGGAACACCTGTATTTAAAAAAAAAAGTAATGAATTTTATCAAAGGAGAGTAGTTAAGACAGATTATACCGGGAGATCAAAAATTATCTTGGTCAAGGATGGTCATAGATTTTAAAATAATAGTCGTAGGTTATGTCGACGCTGTCAGTGAGTCAAACATTGACAGAATTATTTCAAAAGGATGATAAAAGCAACGACAGACGTTTTACATTCCATGACCACCCTTGACCAAGATAATTTTTGATCTTACGGTACAAGGTGAGTCAAATTTTATTGCAGTCATGTTTAGGCATTAAAAAAAATTAAAGAAAACGTGTTCGTGCGCCATACAAACAAACATTCAACTAATTTAAGATCTCTTTATTATTGCTGTTAATTTTTTAATACAATTTGAAACAAGCAACAAAATATGTAAATCATTTTTTTTTTTTTTTGTTAATTGTTATTTTTGTTTTAACACTAAATAAGCCCGAGAGAATTACAAAATTAGAAATTAAAAACATTAAAAGATTTTATGACCAAACATTTTTAATAATTTACCATTATTTATTGCACATTTTAACAAAATCCACAGTATGTACGATTCCTCTTGACCTCACTACAAAAGCCGTCCAGCTATAATAATGTAAAAAAAATAACAAAAATCACGATCGTTTTCATTTACGCAATGAAAGGTTTGAGTTTTTTATGTAGAGGTCAAAATTACTTCATCTTGTATAGGATCATTTTGTCACATTTTTTCCCCATTCTGGTTTCCCATGTAGTTATTTGGAATTTGTTATTAAGTCAGTAATCATCATTTCTACCACCCTATATATTTTTTATTGTTTGTTGTCCAGTTACAAAAATAAATGCTCTTAAAGTAAGATTCTTCGGTTAGTGTGGCTCTTAATACGTTCTGTGGTTCTTAATCAAATAGATTTAAAGATGTCGCAATGAACGATGCGAATGGAATGGTCATGAAAAATTAAATTCGATTAGTCACGCTTAATGATGGATTAATTGTTTGTACAGCCAATTTGGAAAAGTGATATTTTTGGACTGTACTAAGTAGTACTATAAGTAGAGTGGAAAATGATTGTTACAAATTTTTCATTGTTTTCTTGAGCCAAGTATCAGTGTCGATTATGGAGCAGAAATGTAAAAATATTAATTAATTATTATTTGCTAAAAGTGGGTAATAAAGAACGGTTACTGAGTTACTGTTGACGGCAATAAAAAAATCGATTAATGGATATTTTGAAAGATTTTAAATTAGAATAACAAGAATAAAATTGTGTAGCTCATTGTTACCCAATTATCTAAAGACCATAATGGTGAAGAAAATTTAACTTTTAACGTTAGTAGCAAAATGGAAATAATAACTACCTAGTTTCTTCTTAAAATTAAACATTCAACTGTGTTCCAGAGTTGCCTTGATTATTTATAATTTTGTACAATCATTTAGTGACATAGTTATACAACTCCTCAAGCCACAAGCAGTAGTGTACTGGTACCAAAACCAGATGCTTCAATCATTTTTATTTTTAATCAACATGTTTTTATTGGATTTTTACTCATTTCAGAATCGATTCCAAGACCAGCCAGAAAAATACAAGCGTTTCTTGGATATTTTGCACATTTACCAGAAAGAACAGCGCACAATGAAAGAATCATCTGGCGGCGGTTCCGGCGGCAAACACTTAACCGAGCAAGAAGTTTACAGTCAAGTAGCCAAGCTTTTTGAAAACCAGAGTGATCTCTTGGCCGAATTCGGTCAATTTCTTCCCGATGCCACAAGTCATATTAATCCGACGCCAATTTCCGATCATTCGGTCGTCAAAAAACCACCGACTAAACAACCCTACAGGGAAAATATCATCGATAGACCCTCTCACAAACCGAGTCATCATATTTCGGGACAGTTGAAGCGTTCACCCACCTATACTCCAATGATGCATAGAGACGCACCACCACCGAAAAAACATAAAATGTCATCGTGTAGAGATGTGACATTGGCCGAGGCCGGGAAATACGGGACTTTGAATGATTATGCCTTTTTCGATAAGGTAAGAGTTGGATATTTTGAAGTTGATAGCACTGGACGATCTAAACATGTCTTCTTTGATGAAGTTGTGTAAAGGAAACAGTGCGAAATTGAAGCAGGTTAGAGTGAAGGATGTTTGTGATACGTAGACATTCCTTCTCATTACCGTGCGACAGAACACATTTTTTTATTAGTTTTCAGTTCTGAAATGGTTGTAATTGTTTGTAGGTGCGAAAAGCTGTGCGCACACAAGAAGTCTACAACAATTTCTTGCGCTGTTTAATACTCTTCAATCAGGAGATAATCTCGAAAAGCGAACTAATAATGGTAGTGACCCCGTTTTTGGGTAAATTTCCCGAATTGATGCGATGGTTCCGCGAGTTTCTCGGTCAAAACGAAGTCGAACCGATGCCTTACAACGCCACACGTACGGAACGTCCGCAGGGCGAAACAGCACTCGAAATCGATCTCACCACTGCGAAACGTCTAGGTGCGAGTTATTGCGTCATTCCGCCGTCACAGGAGGGTCTGACTTGTTCGGGTCGAACTCAGCTGTGCAAGGAAGTTTTGAACGATCAATGGGTGTCTTTTCCCACGTGGTCGGAAGATAGTACGTTTGTTAGTTCGCGCAAGACGCAATATGAAGAGTACATGTACAGGTGTGAAGATGAAAGGTGAGTTAATAATTTAATATTTATCGTTGTTCTAGGATTCGAGATTTTATTTTGTTATGCTGAACACAAAGCACTTCACCAGTATAGGATATTTTTAGATTCAATACATTAAAATTTTTGTAGTGTGACGCATCAAACACAGAAATACTCGTTGTGTATGTGTTTTTAATTTTGATTTTTATACAGAAAGCGATTTTTTGTTTCTTTTTTTCATTAATTTTGTCTTTCAGGTTCGAGTTGGACGTGGTGATCGAAACCAATGCCTCCACAATTCGAGTTTTAGAAGGTGTGAATAAGAAAATGAGCCGCATGAACGCCGAAGACGTCGCCAAGTATCGTCTGGATGACTGCCTCGGCGGTTCTTCTCCTACTTTGCATCAACGAGCCCTAAAACGGATCTACGGTGATAAAGCACAGGACATTATCGACGGCCTGAAACGAAACCCTCAGACTGCCGTTCCGGTCGTGTTGCGACGACTGAAAGCAAAAGAAGAGGAATGGAGAGAGGCTCAAAAAGGTTTCAATAAGATATGGAGGGAACAGAACGAGAAATACTATTTGAAGAGTTTGGACCACCAGGGGATTAATTTCAAGCAGACTGATGTTAAAGCGTTGAGATCGAAGAGTTTGTTTAATGAAATTGAGACGTTATTTGATGAAAGGCACGAACAGAACGAGGAAGGTGTTGAGCCAGTAGTCGGGCCGCATTTGATACTGCCCTATAAGGATAGGACTATTTTGGATGATGCTGCGAATCTTCTGATTCATCATGTTAAAAGACAGACGGGGATACAGAAAGGGGAAAAGAGGAGGATTAAGCATTTGTTGAGGCAGTTTTTGCCGGAGTTGTTTTTCCATCCAAAGCAACAATTGACGGACGATGAACGTGATGACGGTGAGGTTTTTTTTTTCATGTTTGAAAGATATTTTTTAAATAATTAATCGATTTTACTGAAAATGAAATGGATATTGTTTATTTGTGATACCGCAATAAACAGATCATTTTATGATCGCTGGCAGGTGACAGATGTAGGTTGAAAAACAAAATTATTTTGTAGATATGTACTTTTATTTCGATTTTTTAAAAATTACCTTGAGTTGTTTGAGTTAAAAGAATAACACCTATTTTTTTACTCCTTCCGTTCCAAAGTAAGTACCTATCCGATTTTAGTTTTTTTAATGGATTATTGAAATTATGAAATTAATCAGCATTTAGTTATCTATTTAAATTAAGCATGGAAAAAGTGAGTCTACTAGTCGCTGGAAGTTTGATATTTAATTTGTCAAAATATGATTTTAAATAGTTAAAATATTGTAATAATTATTAGTTTGTTTTTACCCGTTGACAATTTGTTTAATGTTAATTACTACGATCGTCATATCAAAAACTATCCTAAAAGATTAAAAGGGGAAAAAAACAAATTTGAATGTCGGCCAGCGCCAAGGAGTTACATGACATTGTTAATAATCTATACAATGTTCTTTTTATTTTGTTCTGAACCCGCAATTCAAGTAGCACGTTAGGAACTTGATTGTTTATATGTATGTACATGGTGATTCAAAATTTATACACCTTATGACCAATTGTTGATTTTTTAACAGGAATCTGTTCAATGCTGCAAGATCTGCAGTTTCCGCTAACTAATTTCAGGAATCCGTGATCTGAATAGCCAAAAATTTAATCCAACCTGACCTTTGAAGAACTATATCTCGTGAAAAAAGACTCCAACAATTTTTTGACATGGGAACTTATATCTCAGTTGGAGGTACACGTTATATCCCTTTGCATATTTTTTATGAAATTGGACACTTATTTTGGAACGGAGGAAGTACGAAGTGTTCCAGAAAGTACTTTTGTTAATAATTTGAAACACTGCAACCGGGTACGATTATACTTAACAAATACTTGACGTACAACCCCTCAAGATTGTTCAAAAGTGTACTCCAATGGTAACTTTTAAAAATTAGAGTCAGAATTGCCAACAGAATCATTCATCGTGGATCACTATGTATTTATTTTGGTAATTATTGTGCCATTAAAATTGTCGCAAAATTTAAAACCAGCATATTGCGTTCAGTGACACTTGATGTTGCCGCGTACTTAACGTATCGATAATAGTGACACATAATGAAAATTTATGCACATAAAGGCGGAGTAATAAGTAATAATCATAAATGACCTTGACCCACAGATGTAAATTTGTAATGTAGATAATCATTTCATAAGTCACTTTAAAAATACATATACCGAATTTCAAAGCGTGAATATAGTTACAGTTTCTTTAAGTAAAAGTAAAAGTTAAAATGACATTTGGTTTTTTGTTTAAGGAATATTATTACAATAAATACGAATATTTTTATTCTCTAGATTTAATTTTTTTCTATAATCGGATTTGCTTTATTGTAGACGAAAAAGAAGATGGCGATGAAAGCCCGATAAATAGTCCCACTGGGAACAACTCTAAAGGTAAAAGCGAATCGAGTCCAGGAAAATCTCCCGGAAGATTGGACGGAGAAGTTGAAGTCAAAACAGATCCCGATTGTAAAGAAGAAGACATCAAAGTACCTTTACATGCTCAAGTTTCGGATCCGGTAAGCATGGTGTATTTATATAGTCAATTAACACTAATATACATAGGGTACATTTTTGTGTGTGAATAGGAATTTTTCTTTGTTTTAGGATGAAGCCTATACTCTATTCATGGCCAATAACAATTGGTACATATTCCTACGTCTTCATGCCGTTTTATGCGAACGATTGGCGAAAATCTACGAACGTGCTGTAATTCTAGCGGCTGAAGAAGCAAAATCGCGAACTGGGCGCAAAGAAAGTACCGCCGTTGCACTCCGATTAAAACCGAAGCCCCAAATCGAAGTTGAAGATTATTACGTTGCGTTTTTGGACATGGTTAAAAATCTCTTAGATGGTAATATGGACGCTAACACTTACGAAGACACTCTTCGAGAAATGTTTGGTATTCATGCTTACATCGCGTTTACTTTGGACAAAGTGGTTTCGTACGCGGTTCGCCAACTTCAGCATTGTGTCACTGAACGAACTGCCATAGCTTGCACTGATTTGTTTGTCAAGGAACAAAAACGAGGGGCTACTGGAGGACCCTGTTCTACGGCGCATAAAAGATCCCATCTGGAGATGGCGTACCAAAGGCTAGGCGAAAAAGCGGTCCAAGACGAGAACTGTTTCAAGATCTATATTTATAAAAAAGATTGTAGGATGACGATTGAATTGCTTGATACAGATTCGGAGGATCCTAAAAAAGTCGAAGATACGAAAAAGTGGAGTTCGTATAAAGAGTGTTACGCGGATATAACGCATGTGGATAATAAGCCGAGATCGCCGGTCTATTTGAATAGGAATTTAAGGTTGTATAAAAAACGTATGGGGCTGCATAATAAGTCGTCACCGGTAGCGGAAAAGAAGAATAAACAAGGAGAAGAGAATGATGAACAAAAGAAAAATCAAGAGGACGAGAACAAAAAGACGAACAGGATGGCGGACGAAGCCGATAACAAATTTGCTATGTTGGAGGAATTAGAAAGAAAGCTTATCGAACGTCCGTTGCCTGAAAGGAATCAAACGGAACATCCAGGATATGAAGTGTCAGATGAAACGCAATGTAAATTCAATTCGCAGGATCCGAAAATTATGTTTACTGTTAACAAGGATAGTTATTTGTATAAAATAAGTGCCTTTTCGAGAGCGAGAAAGGTGAGTTGATTCATTAAAATCAGTTTTAGCTTTCCTTTTTCCAAAAAACGAAAGTTTCTATATTGGTTTTATTTATTTTGTTTTGTTTTTAAATAACAAAATTTGTTACGGTAGTATTTTATTTGCATTTCATTTTACTATTGATGAATTAGTCATTTTTCATTTGCTAAATTTCTTTATTTGTTTCAGAGTCATCCAGAGATAACGAAACGGTTGTCATGTAAATTTCGCGCGTGGCTGAAACGTTGGGCAAGTGCGAACGTTAGTGACGTGCAACATAAACAGTGTACTGATTGGTTGATGGGTCGCGGCGAAAATGTCGTGCCTAACCGAACACGGGTGCTAACGGACAATGATCTTTCACGAACTCCTTATGTACCATACAACAGATACCGGGTCGAAAGGCTGAACGAAGACGCTACTGCTACGTGATGTTGACGATGAATGAGGGAGAATCAATCAATAAATTAACATTCATATGAATATTTCTCGTCTTGAAATTGTTGTGTTTTTATTTCTTCAGTTCCTTGAAACTTTTTTTAAATTCTATGTGCTTGTAGTGTTTTTTTGTTTAGTCCTTTTGAGTTGAATTTCGTGGTGCGTTGTTTTCTTTTTTAAGTTTAATGTTGTGTTTGCGCACAATCGTTTTTATGTTGTGAAATTATTTATTGATTTATTTATAACGTTAAACATGCCCTCGAAGTGATACTTTTTTATGTAAGTTAAGAACTAAACGTACTTGTTTTTTACGCAAAGTTTTTCCGCCTACAATAAAAGATTATGGTATGTGGTGTTTTAGTTTAAAAATTTATGAGTAGTGCAATAGTCGTTTTTAAACTAAAACATTTTTAGCCTGTTGCAGGTTTTTCTTATGTCTTTTATTATAGTACAAAAAATAGATTATGTTTTTTTTGTATTGCTCTTATTGTACGGTTTTCTTTCTTAAATTATTGATTTCCTGTTATGGTTCTTTGTTAACTGAATCATTTTTTAACACTAATGTTGACATATCCTTGGTGAATTTTTGTTGTAATTGGATAACGACTCGCCTGATTTTGGTTGGCAAAGTGCTTCCAAAGTTTGATATGGGCAGTCGAAAACTTAGCGACTAAGTCATAAAAAAACATATATTTTTATATTCAGAGATATGTCAGCATGATCCGCATCGCCATCCATTTTGTATATATTAAAAATGAAAAGAAAAATAACCAAACATTTTTCAATAGTATAAAACATTCCATTTTATACGATCATTTCCTCACTTGTCCATGTATTTATTAAAGTTTGGTTATTTTTCTAACTTCTCACTTTTAATTATTGTAAATTTTAAGTGTATAGAATTAAAAGTGGGAGCAATATGTACACAATTAAAAATTTTAAAAACTAAAATGCTACACTGTACATACCATTTATAAAAAATATTTCTACAAGAAAAGTTTATTCATTTTTAAATTGTCATTATCTCAACACCCGTATCAGTTATAAGAACCGTATGTTCAAACTGAGCTGTTCTAGAAAAATCTAAAGTAACTGCAGTCCAACCGTCGTCAAGAATGACAATTTCTTCACCTCCAGTAGACAAAACCGGTTCAATGGTGAACGTCATTCCTGCCCTCATTTCCCCGGGATAGTCATTGGCTGTAAGAAAAAGTTACTACGCAACTTTCGAAAAATCAAAAACTTTACTAAAGTGACAAATGTCAGGAGGGCCATGGAAGTAGTGACCAATCCCATGACCTATAAATGCTGGTACTACTGTAAAGCCCAAATCTTTAGCTTTGTGTTCGATTCTTTCGCCGATTTTGCAAAACTTAACGCCAGGTTTGCAAATGGAAATTGCTTCTTCCAAGCAAGTTTCAGTTGCTTTTACCAGTTCTTTCCCCAAGTCGTCAACATTTCCCACAAGAAAGGTTTTGGAACAGTCGCCATGATAGCCATTGTAGAGGACCTGCAATTTTTAACTAAAAACAAGTAAAATGAAAGTACTCAATTTTAGAAGACTACTGTTCTATCAGGATAACAAATTTTATAGCCCTAAGTTTTAGAACAGGATGAGTTTAAATTGAGTAAATATTTTTTCAATGGAATACTCAACCGTAATGTCAACATTAATTATGTCCCCATCTTCCAATTTCCTGTCGTCAGGGATTCCATGACAAGCAACGTTATTTACAGAGGTACAAACAGATTTAGGAAAATTCTTATAATTCAGTGGTGATGGGTATGCCCCACTGCTTACGATCAAGTCGTGAGTAAAGTTATCAACGTCGTCCGTAGTGACTCCAACCTGAAAGAAACCAGCATAATTTCAGATAAAAGAAGACTTCACAAACTACCTGAATACCTTCACATAACTCCCAACTTTCTTAAGAATATTTGCAGCTAATTTACAAGAGTTTCTCATTTTCTGTATTTGTTCAAGGTTTTTAATTTCTGGATGATCGATGAATTCAGTTGGATGTCCAGTTGCATAATAGCTTGGTTTGCTTATGTGGTCGGGAACTTTTTTTTGAGGGGAGACTTTTCCGGGTTGAACGACGATACTAAATTTTCCATGCTCAACTCTTTAAACAATTTATAAAGGTGTTTTTTAGATGGGTTTGGTTACCTACTTACTTTTTTTTACTCCATAAATTTTTCAGGAAGGACAACTGCTTATAATTTAATGATTTCATTATTGATTTGGAAAACCTAACAAAAAAAGAACATAATTAGGTACAAGTTATGGACTATAGATTTAGTAAAAATGAAAAATACTTACATTTTAGATAGTGGTTCGCTTTTGTTATAGGTTATGAATGATTATAATAAAAACATTTTTGTTATATTTTATTCCCATTCAACACTTAAACTAAAATAAGTTTTTCATTACTTATTCTTTGTCTTTATTCAGTCAAGACTTGAGTTTAGTTTTTTATTCGTTCCAAAAATTCACTTCACTTTTACTAACGTAACCTCTAATCTGTCAGTTTTATTCTTCTATCTTTTTCTCATAATTTGCTCTCTTTATTTCACAAGCTTCATTTGAGAACTGTGCCCACCATCTATAATTAGTTTTGCATGAATTTACACCTTAAAAGTTTTAAACTACGGAAAAAATTAACTGTATGAATAAAAATAATATTCTTATTGATACTAATATTAATATATGTGGCAAAATGGAAGCCTTTTACATTTTACAGTCAGACTACTCTCAATTAAATAAGTTTTTCGTCGATTTTTAGTTTAAATATAAATGTCTTTATATGGTATTTTTAAAAGATAAACTAACTAGTACATAGGATAGTAATTACAAGAATGTAAGTTATGAGTTTTATTAAAATAGTGTTATGATCTGCTTAAGATACGTAGGCAACCAAATATACAGCACAAAGTGTGTAGATTCTAGAACAGTTTTCAAAACCTGCACCGCTGCTGTTAGAATGGATAAATGAATTCCAAATTTTTCTTTATATCTGTTTATACAAATTACTTTGTTTTTTGGTAATAACACCCCATTTTAGGGCTACTCCCACCGAGCGCAAACCCATCCCAGTTTGATTGCAGACAGGCGCCGCACAAATTTTTCAGACGGTCATTTTTCAGTCACGTGACGTAACGGAAGGCGGTGACTTCAGCCACAGCACAGCGTCGACATGACTGATTGTTGTGATAAAAACCGAACATGAAAGAATGTTATTTAAGCGATTCCGTGAGAGCATAGTTCAGAAAACGTCTGCGCCTGATAACACAACAAATACATGTTTTTATGTTGTTACATTTGTGACGAGCGATTAAAACACTAGTGTGGTTAAGTTCGGCTGTGCGAATCAAGTGTGCCTCAATTCAAATAAAACACTATACAATTTTGGTAAATACCGCCATTTTTCAATTATTTTGCAATAACAAACAATTGCAATTTGCCTTAATTTTAATTAGAGTTGTTTTGGTAAACTAGGCGGATAATCGATCCGAAATTAGGCACGTATTTGATCAATATGTCGCATTTAACAATTTGGCAAAATTGCGTAAATTTCTATAGACTGAACCATTATTTTCATCCAAATTCGTCACAGTCATGATTGTTTGTTGTTATTCACTTGTGGTCAATGTATTTTCGTCGCGTTTTACTTAGATAGGGCTTCAAATGTCACTACCTATAAATAGTGTCCTGTCTGGGTGGTAATTAAATTTTTTTTTTCAGACTATGATAAGGGACCTGCTGAAATGAATCTTACAGAGAAGTTTATAGTTTTTTTCTTTTCTCTGCAATGTGTCAGTGCAATTAAAGATAATTCCAAAGATTTTATATTTTGTGCAAAAGCCGCGGGGACTATTACACATATTAAAGAAGATGGGGGCCCCGAAGAGATATCCACGGAGTCTCCAGATGAAAAGTGCGTGAAAAATTATTGTTATACGCTGTGGAAGGAGGATCCGAATGATGGAACCAAGACTATCATGGGGCAAGGTAAAATAAACATAATTTTGTTCAAAACATACTGAAGAATATAAAAAAATATCAAAAAGATGTTTTATTTTTTCTGCTTAGTAATCTTCTTTCTGCATTTTTCTTTTTTTAACTACAGTTTTTTTTTGCATAAAACTCTTTTCAATTCAACATCAAACGTCTTTTCTTATTAAACCTTGTGACACAGCTATCGCCTCACTGACAACACCGTAGTGTTTTTTGAGATGAAATAGGTTACAAACCTTTGATTTCTATCTAAAAGAAGAATCTGTGAAACAAATAGACCCTCTTAAAGGTCCACTATTTCATACAGAATGAATGAAAAGTGACATGGCAGTTGAAATGGCACAACATATCAAATAAGTCAATTAGCATTTTCAGTAAATTTGGTGGAATTGTTAAAATTATTAGTTAATTGTCAGCGTCAACATATTCCGTATAGAATTTTTAAATTTGTCAGTTGATTAAAATCTTTTTATGTTAATAGACAAAAGTGCTTTTTTCTATTTCGGTGTTAGAATAAGTCTATTCCAGCACCCAAATGACGTCATTTGCGTGCTGGAATAAGTCGTTCGCGGTAATTTAATTTTAGTGATGGACTTTGTTCACAATTCATTTTCAAATATGAAAATAAGAATAATTTTTTATTTTTTACAGCCGCATAAAATTATTCTACATAAATGTTGCCAACCGTCGCAAAATTTTCTAGAAAAAAACTAAAATTTTCGTTTTTTAATTTATAAAATGATATAAAGCGGCGAAATAGAAAAAATAGTATAAAGCACTTGTTGCAGAAGGTTCTTCAGGCACTCATTTGTTCCTCAACTCGCCGCTACGCCTCTCGTTTCATAATTTGAAATTTGTGCTTGAGAAGATACCTTCTGCAACTTGTACTTTAATGTACTATTTTCTGTACTCCTAGTTGTTAAAAGATTAGTTTACCTGAACTAAACTAAGCTTTACACTGCTTATTACAGGGTGACTTTTAAATTACTATTTTTTTATTTATGAACACGTACAGTGACGGACAGTGAATTTTGTCCACCCATTTTTCATGACAGACTAAAACTGTAAATTAGTCTAGGTTTTTCTAACCACAAAATGCTCGATATTCCCTACTTTTTTTTTACTTGTGCTTTGTCTTATATTGCTTAAGGTATAGTACAGTTGGGGACACGGAACCCTGGGCAGTCATTTCTTATCATTTCAAAAAATTTCAATGTAAATGCACCTTTACCGTCATTATGATTGATATTTAAAAAACTGTCAAATTAACATTGACATACATTAATTTTTGCAAAATGCATGCTGTATCAGTTTTTAATAAATCTCGAGCAATAGCTTTTATTCAAAGCGGGATGTCGCAGCGGCAAGTCTCAGTGACTTTGGGGATTCCAAAAAGCATGGTGAATTTAATCGTGCAGAGATGGAGACAAACATTAAAAGCTTGGTTATGAGTACTTAAGGTATAGTTTAGAAATTTTGACGACTGAATGACACATTTGTCCAGTTTTCCGTGTCCCCCACTGTACCAATCCATTTTCAGATTAGAAATCCGGTTCAAAATGAGTAATAATTTAATTAAACTTGACAACACGTATTTAAATGTCAGTTATCATGACAATAAAGTACAGACTGCAGTAAATTTTTGTGAATTCAGGGAAAAAAGACGGATGAAATTCACTATCCATCGCTGTACCAATTTATTGTATTTTACGATGTCATAAAGTTTTGTAAACTCCCTGTGGTTTTGCATTTGATTATCCAACTTAAATAACAGACATTCAACAAGACTTAGTACGAGATTTAAAAATGTATATGATAGTTTTTGTCTGGCTGAAAATAAATTTTTGTGTCACGTTTCGTCTAAGAATTGAAGTAAAACTACGCAAATTAATTTAAATATTTAAGAATGGCTTATCGCTTATCTAAATATGTTAACATACACAGTTCTGTAAATCTGTATGCATATTGGAATAAATTGAGATTGTAAAATATTATAGAATTATTGGGTCAGCACTTGATTAACTTTATCATTCATTTTTCTCATGTAATGGTGGAAATAGTAAACGTCCGGTTTTTAGTTTCGTGAAAATTTATTCAAGATGAATAAAAGCTTAAAACGCATTTTTTTATCATCGGGTTACAAACTTTTGCTTATTTGATCCGAAAGAATAATTTGTAAAGTCCATTGCAAAGTGTTATGAGTAGTTGTGTTATGAAAATAATTTCTTATTTATAAAGTACAGAGTGGTTATAAATGATTTTCATCTAGCCAGCTGTAAATTTTCCATGTAAAATAGAAAATGCCGCTTTACGAAAACAGGGGTACCTACTTGTTTTAACTCAAAATTAAAAAATCGCCGTTTACTAAGCGTTCACTTCGAAAATAGACTTCAATTATAAACTTGTTTTTTTCCAAAATATACATTATTATCAATTATTATTGGAAATTAGTTGAAAGAATAAAAGTTTAATTAACAACAATTTATTATTAATTAATAAGTGACACTAATGACAGAACTAGAAGAACTAGAGCTTTCAAAAAAGTAGAGCGGCACAAATAAAGTTACATGCAAAAAAATTCCAAAGCTGGCTAGATGAAAATCATTTATAACCACTCTGTATTATTTGCAATTTCTTGGGTTATTTTTGAAAACATTATCAAGTACTCAACAAACAAAATTTAAACAAAAAATAAATAAACGTGATCTGTATCACGTTTTTTCAAGATTTTACTGAATAGTGACAGATAGTTTCCTAGGAAATGAATATCATATAAAACATTTTGCAATATATGAAAAAAGAATCCATTTTTAACTGTCGAGATACAAATTTAGCATATTCATAAAAAAAATACTATCATTAGATAAATATTACAATAATTAGAGAAAAAATGTCGTAAAAATATTAGAATTCGAGATTTAGTTATCAGAATATTACTTAACAATCAACATAGAGTTTTATCATTGCACGACTACATCATTCACCAATGGTTTCTGGATCTGTATATATTTTTTTAATGAATTTAAGATTAGATACAGCTTTATTAAGAAAGAGTATTCATTATTTCATCATTCAGCCACTGGAACAAAGTAAATCTTTGAGTGCTATGCCACGTTTTTATCGCTTAATTTAAGTAATGTAAAATGGAATAACCACATGTCATATTAAAAGCCTCTTAAAACCACCATTTAATAAATAATATTTTTTGGATAGGTTGTTGGGACACTTCAGGCAAACCGAACGAATGTGACAGGGCGCAATGCCTTGCTGCCAATCGGCCTCCGAAAGCAATGAATAACACGAAATTTTGCTGTTGTTCCGAAGACATGTGCAATGTTAACTTCACCGATGCTTACGTACCTGTCGAAGATTTCCCTCCATCGACGACCGAAGTGGCGCCAAAGAAGTCGGTCAAGTCGTTTATTTGGATCGTTGTAGTTGTTTCGTTCATATTTGTAACGGTGATCGCATTGGGAGCCTCGTACTATCTCTGGAAGAAGAAGCCGAAGAAGAATGATGTGGAAGGAGGGCATCAGCATACAGTGCCGCCACCGGCGGACTACAGTTTGGATAAATTGAAACTTTTGAATGTTATTGGTAGGTAATCGCAAAGAACAATCCTCATTTCAAATAAAAGACACTCGGAGAGAATTCAACACAGGAAGTTAAAGAAACAATATCCGTAAAAGTTTTGTTTCCCGATTCTTAATAGTTATTTATGTACATACTACATAATAAGGAGATTATGTCCTAAAGGAATGTTTAAAGCCCGACGTTATGAAGGCTTTTAATTTCTTAAGGGCCCTGATCGACAATTATGCCCGTGGTACATACAACGTTTTATTATACATGTTTTCGATTGCGTTTTGCTTCGCCGAAATATGAATTTAATATTTTCGTCGAATTTGGTGTAAAAATCGAGATCGCTTATTTTATCGTTGTTATGAGTTCCATATGAAGCCCAAGAGCCTATAAAAGCTAAATTATGCCCGCTTTGGGTGCTTATGCTAGATACGAGTTTATAACACCAAAATATAATAAACTTATTTGTTACAGTCATACCAAAAAATATTATGTTTTAATAATATTTCAAGGCAAATTTTGATTCGGTATTTTTCAGAGATATTAGAAGCATCTGGGGATGTGAATGCATATTTTTCTTTGTGAAATGTCAAAAGGAAGCCTTAAAAAACTTTTGTATTTTTTAAAATCAGAAAGCACAATTTTTTGTTTTAACATAGTGTTTCGTCAACTGATTGTTAAAAAATTCAGTGTAGTATATTTATTCTAATAGTATTTTATGTATCAAGTACGCAAAATGTTGTTTTATGGGACGAATAGTAATTAATAACGAGGCGACGTAGGAGCCGAGTCTTTAATGAGATGAGTCCCCTAAAACATTTTGCGTACGTGGTGCATACATAATTTTTTGGTATCAGCTCTGCAAAATATCTTCTGAAAATGTGAATTATTTGAATTCTGAATCGTAAAATGTGGAAACTGTGTGAAAGGGTAGTAGGTGGTGTCATGACGTTATTATGGCAACCAGTTGTTTATCGAAAAAACGGTTGTGTTGAAAATGTGTGAAGTTTCGGCGTTCATTTCCGAAAAAGCAAAAATAATTGTTTCGGATTTGCTTCCGGCGAAGTCTAAAGCCCAGTATGAAAAAGATTATGCTTCGTTTCGTGATTGGAAGCAGGCAAATGGCGTGACTCTCGTGAATGAAGATGTGATGTTGGCCTATCTGGACGAAAAGGTATGCACTACGGAGTTTGCATCCTGCAGTGAAGAAAGTGGCAGCTTTGATCATGGGACAAAAAGMATCAGGTGCATCAATTTCATCTGTGGCGAATTCTGTTGACGTGGTTGCATCAACATSGACGTCAGTRGAATCTTCAAACAAATCCATCACTTCAAATCTGAAAAACCTAACTGAAAAAGGTCTTTCTTTTTCTGAAAATAGTTTTAAAAATGCCAAAAACTGTAATTTTCATTTCCATTTCTCAATATAAATTTATTATTAATTTTGCAATAAAATCCATGTTTCTAATGTGTTGCTAAGTTACCTTTCAGTCCGCTAAAATGGACAAAAAGTACTAGGCCGCTAAAATAGCATTTTGCGGACTCAAATGAGTTCGCTAAAATATCATTTTGCGGAGCGTGTACCAAAAAAATAATTTTACTGATGTCTAAACTGCATTTCTTTTGGTACGTTTTTTAATTAGTGCTAATATAATACAAATTTTCAAGTAAATAGTAGTCTCTTTTGTTGCTTTTTAGTATTAAGAAAACGCAATATTTAAATTATCAGAATAACAAATAATATTGTTGTTGTATCAATTAAATTAAAAATTCATTATGAGTGTGATTTAATTTTAGAAGTAAAGTAAATATTTATTTATAACAGTTAACCTGACAAATTCCTATTTAATTGAGTTTATCATAAATTTAGTCGCAATTTCTCCCTGTTTGGCACACTGATAAAAGTTTTGATCAACTGTTGATATAATTAGTACATATTTTTAAGGTTTATGAAAAACGGTTTGAAGTGACGCATTCGTTTTTGAAATAAAATTATCAATCTTCATGAAGGCGAATATGTCATGGCGCAAATAATCATTAATGCGCTACGTGTTACATACAGGACTTTTTCTTCTATCATACATTATAAAAATTGTTTTTTTTTTATAGGTCAAGGCAGATACGGCTGCGTATGGCGCGGCATGATCGACGATCAGGAAGTGGCCGTCAAAGTGTTCGCAGCTCATCACCGCAATTACTTCCTCAACGAACACGAAATTTACAAACTCTCAGGTGAAAATTCAGCCTTATTGAAATGCTACGGAGGCGGTGAATATGTCACCGCTCCCGGTGGTTTAACGGATTATCGCTTGCTGCTCAGTCTCGAACAGGAATGTCTACAGGAGTATCTCAAAAATCACACTCTCGACCTGATGACTTTGAGTAAAATGAGTCTAGGGGTGGCGAGAGGCCTAGCACATTTACATTCGGATCTAGGGAAGCCGTGTATCGCACATAGGGATATCAACAGTAGGAATATTCTAGTTAGGCCGGATTTGACGTGCTGCATTTGCGATTTAGGATTGGCGGTTATACCTAGACTTGCGGAGAACAAGTCCATCAGTGAAGCTGGTGAGTTTTAAAAGAACACCAGTTTGATTAATGTTGTACACCCGGGGAAAAAACTATTCACCAGTCTAATTTTGTACTCGGACTGCGCTTTGTCGCAATAGCGTTTCAGACTAACTAGTTGGGGAGCAATTAATATGTCGAAAAACCCTTGTTTAGGAAGTTGGTCCGGACCCGAAAAATGTCTGTGAAAATTACTTCAATGAGCATAAATTATAACGTATACATTAAATTGTGATTATAATAAACAAGTTTGATCAAATTACAAATACATGAATTTATTTAAGAAATGTATTTTGCAAGTATATAGTATGTTCCCGGATTAAGTTTACAAGAGGAAAAAAAAATTTACCTTTGATTTTACGCCAAAACTACAAAGGAAAAACATTTTTAGCTTGACTTGACCCATATACTAATAATTTTGCAATAATTCTGCAACAATTTGAATTTAAATAAATTTTAAATCGGAGGCATTTGTGCAGAAAGCAGGAAAATTATCGTCTGTAACAAAAAAAGTGTGACGTGACAGAAAAATTTACAATTATTATGGTTTAATTAAAGGTAAGTGAACATAAAATTAATAATTCGATTAAAGGTTGTATTGTTTGTAGACTATAGTGTTAGTTACTACTATAGTATTAGTTATTACAAGCTCAAAATCAAGAGAAAAATTAAATTTTCTTTCCACTGAGTGAAAATGAACTTTTAAAATTACAGACTTACTGGTTTCAGGTGAAGCAAAAAATGTTTTTCTTTTGCAGTGTTAGCGTAAAATAAAAAAATCCGGGGACATACTGTATAATATTAGTTATTATTATTATTATGGCATTGAATTTACCACTTTGGGTTTTTTGCTTTGTTTAGAAGTATTAAAAATAAATATAAAAAACGGAAGAAACTAGCTATTTGTTAATAAAATTAAAAGTAAATCACAAAAATTTTGTTACATGGGCATGCATTTTTTTCTCTAAAATTTGCTTAGTGTCATTTTGCAAATTATTATAATCACCATTTAATAATCTATACTCATTGAAGAAATGTTCAGAAAAAAACGTGTCCCTGAGTCCGGACCAACTTCCTAAATAAGGGTCTTTCAACATATTACCTGCTTCCCAACTAGTTAATCTGAAACACTATTGCAACAAAGCGCAGTGTGAGCAGAAAGTTAGACTGGTGAATAGTTTTTTTCCCCGGGTGTACTTGCTACTTAAGTGAATAACTATTTAGCCGTTTGTAACAACCAGATAAACACTTTCTTACAAAGCACTCTACTCTGACAAAAACCAGACATGTCAAAGCAACTCTTGTTCTTTCTCATCCAAACGAAATTCATTCATTAAAGTATCTGTTTTTATTTACTTTGTACTCCTTCGAAGTCTTAGTTTCAATAGCCTTACTCGAATGTTTAAATCAAGTGCTTTTGATAATAGACCACACAAATTTTCTCAACTTTGCAGGAACTTTGCGATACATGGCCCCGGAAGTTCTCGAAGGAGCGGTCAATTTGCGAGATTGCGAAAGTGCTCTCAAACAAATCGACGTCTACGCCCTCGGCCTTGTCCTGTGGGAATTGGGAATACGATGCAGTGATATGCAGAATTCCGAACCACCGTCGTATACGCCACCATTTTTCAAGGAAGCAGGAGAAAATCCGACTTTGGAACAGATGCAAACTTTGGTCAGTCGACACAAAGCGAGGCCTTTGTGGCCGCCGTCGTGGAAGGATACGGCAGCGGCGAGGCTCTTATGTGAAACTGCTGAGGATTGTTGGGATCAGGTATTTAATGCGGACACAAAATTGTAAATTATTAAACAAAATTTTCAGGATGCTGAAGCCCGTCTAACATCCCTCTGCGTCGTCGAACGTCTCCTCGAACTTCCCTCCCTTAAAGGTCGCGTTCTCCATTCCATGCATCCTCCCGCAAGTCCCACTCCATTAATAAACAACAACCACCTCCATGACCACCAAATCGACATTTCGGTCGGTACAGTAGAAACCCTATTGTCGCCAAGCGAAGAACATTGCAAAAACTCCAATCAATTAGTGGCCTGCGTCACTCCACTCCAACCCTACCAAGGGCGAAACCCTTGTCTTGAGAGAAACCTCCTTTCCGGCTCGAGTGACTCCCTCCTGATTGATAAATCGTCTAAACATTGCACAAGTTCCGAATTTCAGAATTTAATCACCAACGATTTTCTCAATTACCAAATTAATTACCGAGCCACTCCTATTCCTTATCTCCAGAACGCGGTTCACGGCAGTCCTAAACAGTCAAATACTTCGAGTGAGGGCTCCAAGTCTAGATTCAAATGGAACGGCTTTATGAAACTTTTCCCAAATAAAAAATACAATTCAAGTGATAATTCAAGTAAAGCCACTCAAGTGAAACTTAACGCGAAATTAGTCAACGGCCAAAACGGCGTTACGACTTCTCTCCTCTCCGACAGCGAAACCAAAAGGCCTTCAACGTTGCCCTTGAACGTAGTCAAATCTCAGGAAAACTCCTGTGGAGTGACTCAAATTCTAAAACGGAAGAATAGTTTATCGCGACAGAGGTCTCTGGAGCAGTTCAATGAAGTCTTTTCATCAATTAGCGACCTTTCTAGACTCAAAGATCCGTCACAGAGGATTAAAACTCCAGGTGATGTGCCGCCATCTGTCAGGAGAACCCGGGGTAAAGCGGCGAAAGAATCGGCGAGGTTTTCGCTGTATGACGATAGGATGATGAGTCGAGGACAATGGGGCAGTGCCCCAGATCTAGAGCCCCCAGTGCCGCCGAAATTGCCCCAATTGAACGATTTGCAAGATAGAGATAGTGTGAGCAGTTTTTGAGGTATGAGGAAGGTGGACTAGAGTGAAATGTATTTATGTGGAGTGGTTGAGATTTTGTATTTTTTTTATTGTCGTTTGGAGGTTGTGTGAGTAGTTATTGCCATTTGGGTAAAGTACAAGCCAATTAGATTATTTCAAGAAAAGAAAAAAATAATTTTGTCAGTGTCATTAGTGTTTTTCTTTTAAATTTAATGATATTTTTTTCAAATTGGTGTAAAACGACAAAAGAGCAGTAAAGCACAAAGATTGGCTTGTACAATGTCTATTAAATCAGAATGCAGCTTATTTTGAATGTTTCTGGCCTTTTTTGTATGTACGCCTTGTTCAAGAAATATCTTCTAAACGCAGTTCATGAAACTGAATACTTTGGAAAAAGTATTAATTACAAAATTAAAAAGCCTAAGTAACATAATAGAAGTTTTGACACGTTCACAGTTCATTTTTTTTCAAATGAGATAATTTTTTATTTCATTTTATTGTATAAGGTAAACAATAACGTTTAGGTAACGATAGAAGAATCAGTTTATTTAATAATTTCCCTTTATAACTAACAAATTAATTTTAAAGTTTGTATACGGATCGTAACCCAAAAATCTGGACTTTATAGTCTTAAAACGGCCAGTCTCCACTTTCTCATCGATTTTCGATGCTCCCCCAACACTAAAATTCCTGTGTTCATTTGAATCGTTATAAAAAAGCCAATCTTCTGTTGGAATTATTCACACATTTAAAATTATAGTCATGCTTTTAAAACTTGTGCAATTAATATTTCAGAACCATGAAAATGGAGATTGGCCTTTTTAAGACTCAGGTCCAGAAATATTAGTGAATAGTTTTTTTCGAAACTAAACTAGTCAATTTCAAAATTATCTTACGTACTAAAGAAAAAAGAGTTGTGATACTTAAATTTGATATTGACAACTGAAATCAAAGATGTGTTAAGTTGAACAAAAGAAACAAAATGAAAAGATGAAGGCCTTTAAAGAACGATTAGATATTGTTTAGTCTTGTTGATGTCGTATTGCTATTCTAATTTCTTATGTGCATTGTAATAAAACAAGAGACTAAAGTACAATACTGTATTGAGCTATTTAGTTGTTTTATGACTGATTTTATAAAACGAAGCGCTCATTAAATGATACACCAACACAGAGCACGACAAAGTCCTAAAATTTTTATTTACATTTCCAACAATATTATTCGCCTATTTGTAAATGTATAGCTCAAAGTATTATTTTTGTAGTTACAAGAGAGGTTGAATGAAGTTATATGTTAATCAAATATTTTCTAAGTAAGAAAAATTATGTAAACATTTTCTTTTTAAGTCATAAAAGTGTAGCCATAGGTTAATATATTCATTGTGAATGCAATTAAAAAATTGATGAAACATACTCCAAAAATTTTTCTGTGATTACTAGAATTCTGATTCTAGAAAACGTTATTTTATTTTGGCTGTGTAATTACGTGAAATGCGCATTCCTTTTGTTTTGTGAAACAATTAAGTAAGAGGTTTTAAACGTCTTATTTAATTTTTTCAACTATGAAATCACAGCAAAATTTTCAAAATTAGCAAGTAACGAGCGACATTTTTTAATGTACATAATATTGTCAAAATGTGCATAAGTTATGGAAATTTAAGATCAATATACAGCAAAAAACTAATTTTTTACTTTCATTTAAATCCCAATAAAATTCTCGTATTTTTTAACATCGCTTTGACTCACGGTGCATTTAACGGAATCGCTAGCAATAAAGAAATCGTTCATTTGGACATTCCTCGCCTTAACAGAATTTGAAGGTAAGTCTTGCAACTCGGAACAAACCACTTTGGAAAAATCCTGCTCTCCCATGATTGGTTCGTAAAATCCATCATCGCTGCATTTCCAAATTTTGGTATCTTCCAATTCGTTCAGAGGGATATTTAGGGCGGTTTGGATCAAATCGTTCAAGTCCGAACCGGAATAACCTTCAGTTTTCTCCAATAGTTCTGTCCAGTCAACATAACTGCCTTCAAAACGAATGTTTCTTGTAAAAAACTGGAAAAACTCCAATCGTTCGAATTGACTGGGAAGAGGCACGTAAATACGTTTCTGAAACCTCCGCAAAATGGCACAATCTAAATCCCAAGGACAGTTTGTAGCACAGACTATGAACATGTTTTTGCAATCTTCAATATTCGACATTTGGCACATGAGTTCAGTCTTTATTCTAAAAATTTAGTAGAATTTTCGGCTTGTAAATGTTACAACGAACCTTCTTGTATGTTCTTGTTCACTTCCGCTGCGTTTCCTACAAAACGCATCAATTTCGTCAATAAAAAGGATACTAAAATCGCTACTTTTTTTCAAATGTTGGAACAAAGCCTTAATCGTTCTAAAACCCACTAAAATCAACATTAACTCTTAAATAATTTCTACATACTTTTCCGTCTGCCCCACATAGTGAGATAAAACATCCCCAGCAGAAATAGAGTAAAAAGTGGCGGCGGCTTCAGATGCTAGAGCGTGCGCTAGTCGCGTTTTCCCAGTCCCTGGGGGGCCATACAGTAAAATACTATTACAAATTCTACGATTATAAAATAATTGCGGCTGAGTTTTGGGGAGAATAACAAGCGATTTTAAGGTTTTTTTAATGTCATATAGTCCAATTATTTCACTGAGGCCATTTACTTTGGGATTTTCAATACTGTTTTTAATTATGGTTGTAATTTTATCGACTTTGTCTTCCTGAAGCGGTTTCTCATTGATTGTTCGATTAATATCCAACCGGATTTCCGCCTGAATTAGTTTTTCACTGATTTCAAGTAGAAAAGTGAGCTGGTGCTTTTGTTGAAATAATGCCACCTGAAATATCAAATTTGAGTAAAAAATCTGATCGTAGTGTTTACTTACTAAAAAATTTGCGTTATTTGTTTCTAAAGTTATAATAATATCGATTTTTTGACAACAATTTACTAATTCTTGATGAACCAATGGATAATGTTTAGTTTCCGCACTTGTAAAGTAAGATACCAATTGTTCAACACTGAAAACACAATTCAATTAGTATCATCTTCAAGTAAATGTGAAGTGTTACATTTCAATTACTGACAAGTAACAATTAATTATATCATTAGTTTCCAGCTCCATTTTTGAAGATTTAAAAGAGTTTTCAATAATAGAAACGCCAATCTAGCGCAATTAAACTCCCTACTTTTTAGAAACCTGTATTGCCGGCCATGTCATTCTGTCATTTCAAATCGGACATGTCTGCTGTGTTTTTGACGTGTGGGTTGAAGATTTCGTATTAAACATTATTTAGGTCACACCCAATTAAATTAAGTGAACGAAATTAGTGTAAAGGTAATTCTATTACGAGGCGCTTCTCACAAAAAGTGTCATCTTACAAACATTCAGCGGTAAGTGTAAAACCAACCTTGGACGTTTATCATGTTTTTCAAAAAATCTCACTTTTTCCTAATTGATAACTTTTTCCGACTGTAAAAATTCAAGTTGGAGTGTAATTGAGTTTTGCTTCCAGTGGGCGCTTATTAGAATTTCGCATTTTGCATGCACTTTGGTATGTAGGGCACTATTTACATAGATTGTTGCTTTTCGTTCTTTATTTGCTTTATCAAGGCTTTTTTTTTTAATTGATAAAATGAATGTGACAATTTTTGGGCTGCGAGATACAGCTGGGATGATTGCTGACGTGCCGGTTAATAAATAACGCAACGGTGAATTGTTATGCATTATTATTCTAACTTGAGTACTGAGACCCGAACGTTAATGATAATGAACCTATCATATTTTTGTTACAACAATAAAATTGCATTCCTTGTTGGTAACGTGACAGTGAAATTGTTCTATGATTTTTTTTTTTAGTAAAATTTCAATTAAATGAAGTAAAAAGGTTGAATGTTATTGAACAAGGAAATACCATTAAACTACCACTTTGTTTACTGTTATTATTGTTTGTAAAGTCGTAAGTGTTAAGAGTTTATCGTGCCTACAAGAATCACCGGCATTTTTTTTATTTTCTTAGCTGAGGTACCTACATATTTGTGGTATTGTACTAATTTTTCCCAGTTTATTGATATAGAATCAGTGAAAACGAGATAATAATAAATTATTTAAATGTTGTAAAGCGAAATGGCATAAAGTTATGTTATCCAAAAGCCAACATTTTTCACATTTTAATGAAATGTGAGCACTTGGCATTTAAAAAATAAAAAAAATGATTTACAACCTGGTACATTTGTATGAATGCTTGTAACATAAGACAATGAATAATTTATTAATTGGTGGGTTTAAAAATCAAACACCACGCATTTTTTACATAATTATTGACAAATAAGGGATGTTTGTAAAAAAAACCGGATGATTGACCGATTTGTATTTATTTTAAATATCTTTAAATAATGTATTAAAATTTCCGCCTTGCAGTTGTAATTTCATCGCGTTTTTATCAGTTAATTGGATCGAATAACTATAAATCATAATTAATTAATCGACCGTAGCATTTCTCTTGATGAAAGGCTTCGATGTGGATGATTTTTAAGCACTGGAATCACAAGCAGTACGAATAGGAAGTCAAAAAAAAGTAAGTTGTGATCAGTGACCGCAAAAGCATGAATGAACATTTCCGCGGGAATTGGTTCTTCTTTGTCGGTATACTTAATAATCGATAAAATCTCAAATTCTTTAGTTTATGTCGGGCGACAAAAAAATATTATTTACGATTGATCAAGAAACATTTGTACTTTTCATCTGACAATTTTTAAATTCTTCGATAAAAATGAAGAAAAGTATTTCCGGCTTGCCTTTCCCAAAGTTCTCATGTGTTATATTCACAGTATTGTGGCACTACTTGCAATTTTTTAATATTCATAGTTCTAATTGTTAGATAAAACCTTGAATTGTAGGTTAATTAAGGGAATTTAAATGAAACTCATTTTTCCTGTTTGTTACTATAATTTCTGTAAATATATTTCTGAAAAAATTATCAATTGCCCGAAAAAGAATGAAAATGAAATTTATTCAGAAAAATTTGAGTTACGAATTTAATTTGGGAAGATTGTTTCACGGAAAACAAGTATCTGCTGTTAAACATAATTACAGCAATAAATAATGAAGACTGCTATTTCTCTTTGGAGTAGTCTGGACTTACATTGCATAAAGCAAAATCAAAAATATTAAATAGTGTCGAAATTAAGTAATTATTCAAAATATGTATTAAAATAGTGTGGGGTGTGTTAATTGGGTAAGTAGGCACTTATTTTCAGTCGTAACATAACAAGTTTTATTATTATCATTGATGACATAGTTTGGAGCTAGAGGTGAGCTGTAAATAAATGCATTTGGGAGGCGGATTTATAAATGCTGCTCGAGTTTCATGATCATGAATTTTTGCTACAAAAGCGAATTTTTGTTTAACGATAACGATGTTTTTTCATAAGTTTTCTTGATTTTTTTTATCGAAGAAACTTTTCTGTGCTCTTACAGTAGGAGACACTTTTCATACCGCCTTTACATCAGCATCTCAATTTAGCCCTTCTGGAAGTTTTCTTTTATATTTCACATCATTCATCCGTCTCGTAATTGACCAAACCCATTTGCGACCTTTAACTAAGGTGTTATTAATGGCAACAAGGTCTCATCCCCTCATTGAATTTATCGGGTTTTGCGTTGGCTTCCCGGCTGTTGGGTACACTATGAAACCGTGAAATCCACTGGTCTGTGCTTCTATTACCTAGTTCGACTTTAAATTCAACACAGACAACTTACATCTAAAATTTATTATGGCAGGAGTTTCAGGAAATTTATCGGAGTAAGTTTTATTTCCTTGTTTTTTTTTTACGGTACTTGTGTGTTATGTAGTTGTATCGAAAGTCGATAAAACAAGTGTAGGCCACCTTCAGATTTCTCAATTCGGTCAAATGCACGATAGTGGATTGTTATTATGTAGTATATGTATTTTAGTTCTCTCCTATCTGGTTTATTGTTTTCAGTCGACGTTTTATTGTTTCGAGAGATGAAAATAACACGAAAGGCAGGTACAGGTGACTGAAATAAAAAATAAAATTTGTTTCAACATGTACAGTTGTTTAGGTATATCTACTTTTCCAATGATTCTGAGCCTGTTTTAAAAAACAATTCAAGTTTAAAATATGGTATTGAATATAAAATAATTGCAAATAGGCCAAATTGTAGCAATGATAGATAAATTTGAAATTTTTCTAAAAAAATTTTTCATCTGTTAGGGAGTTTTCGTGGAAATATCTTCTATATTTGGAACCGTTCTGGTTAAAAATTGTATAGATTTTAAAATATTGGAAAACAATAGCAACTAACATGCAAAACCCCGCGCAAACATATAAATATGTATTTTTTTTTTTAGTAAAGAAAGAGACTTTTGATTCGTTTATTGAAACCTTTCTGTATTTTAGTTTTATTTTTTTTTATTATCAATCTTTTTTGAACGATTTGTGATAACATAGACAACTACTTACTTAGTTTTTGTCTTTAATAAGTTACAAAAGAAATAATTTGAAGTTCAATTCAAATAATTTTTTGATTTTCTAAGAGAAGCAACTTTCACAAAACGCTAAAAAGTTAATGTTCTTTTTGAGATATGGCAAAAAGTTACTCACTCATCTATTACCTCTATAACTTCTATTAAAAAAAATAACTTTTTCTATATACATACAGAGTGAATATAAAGTATGGAACCAAGCGGTTTTATTTTTAATCATTTGCCTCAGGAAAATAATAATTAATAAATATAAATTAAAATAACATAAAAAATGTGATCGTATTTTCAGAAATTTTGTTTTGTTTTTGAGTTATGTGGTTTTTTTTGTCAAAATTGCAATTTATGTGAAAAAATTTTTTTTTTGAAAAAATTCAATATAAAGCATATACTATGTAGTTGTAATCCTTAGAGTATAGCTTTTATGAGAAAAATGATTTTATAGTGGGTTGCCAGTTAAAAAAAATTGTAGAAATCAAAAGCAAAAGGAAATTTTGAAAAAATGTATTCTTGTTAAAACATCCCATTTTTATAGTACTTTATCACTCATCAATTAGTTTTTTCAAAAGATAAATAGTTTAATCAAAAAACGTTTGGTTCCATACTTTTTATTTACCTGGTATAATTATGAGTCACTCTGTACATAACGTATTATTTTTAAAATGTAGGCTAAATAATGTTCTATATGAGACTGCAAAACAATTTTATGTTGTACTTTTAAATAAGGGGACTATTTTATTTTTTGCAATAGCGATACACCCTGTATGTAATATTTTTAGTATTTTTTCTGTTTTATAGGTACACTGAGCGGCAAAATTATGGAACAATCTTATTAAAACTGAAAATATATACTTGATTTAAAAATTTTAGACTGAAGTCGTCGACATTTTTTTTAAATAAAAACCCCTATTTTTTTAGCCATTTCGATAGATCTTTTATTTGCCGAAGTGACAACACCAAAATATTATATATTACATAATAAAGCTTTCGAGAAAAATTATTCAAAAAGCGAAAAATGTAAATTTTAATATCAACAAGATCAAAATCAAGTTGAGGATTGTGTATTTTTTAAAAAGAAAGTTGACGTTTTTGAGCATTTTTGCCAAATCAAAATATTTTTAGTTGAGATTATTCCATAATTTTGCCGCTCACTGTATGTCAAGTAAATTAAGCAAAATCAGAAGTTGTTTCTTTTTCCGAAAGTTGATTGTTTCGTGAAGAATTGTCTCACCCTGTATAACTGGCAAATCACATGATATTATCATCGTGTTTCCCCGAGTGAGTTCACCTTGTTCGCCCACTTTTCGTCCGCAAATGGGCTGACTAGCATGGGTTTATTGTTCTCAAATTCAAGGGTATTTAAGAATTTTTGCATTTTCCGAAGTAGGTTGTTGGTGTAAAAAAAATTGTACATGTTTCATAGCGGTTGCACATTTTACTATTCGAATAGTTAAGGGGTTGCTATAAATAACCTCTAAAGGGAATTCCTCAAGTCTCGCGTTCTAAAATCAGTTTATTCGAATCATGCTTTGAGATGTGATGCACACAGAGACAAAATGGATCGACAATTTTGTGGTTTGAATTTTCGATTGAAAATGGGTAAACGGCGACATTTGAATAAGTTCATCAGTAAATGGATCAAGAGGTATTTTGCGAGTGCACGTGGTTTATTCTAATTTTCGTCCGACACACCAAATATAGAGGTTTCGAACAAGGCGTAAACTTGCATGAGTTGGATTAATAAATTCGATTAACTGTAATTTCGGAGTCGTAAAGTGCATAGATGTGCTGCATGAGTTCGCATTAAGGTGTTGCTTTTATAAAACTTATTGGATTTTATTGCGTTTTTGAGCTTAACAAATACTCTTATTATATGATTGATTGATGGCAACTGTTTTGAAGAACCATTTACTCCAATTCCATATGAGTAAATAATGATAAGATTAATAGTGAAGTTACTGATGTGATATAAATTAATTTGCCAACAACTCATATGAAATTAAATAAATATTATTCTTCCTGTATTAGGAAGAATAATATTGAAAAAAGCTTAGTTGTACATGATGGTTGCAGTTTTTTATTTATTAAGTATTAGTTTATTAGTTATATTTTTATAATTTCTGTAGTTGTACGTGAAAAAAAATATTTTTTTAAGTAAAAACCGGTAATGTTTTTTAAACAAAAGTTTATATGTACAGGGTTATTCATAAATATGAAGCTATATTTGAACCTCAAAAATGACGTATAAAATGATGTTAATTTAAATAATAACTCGTGTCCTATCTCTACTGATAAGAATTTTACAGCCCTCGGAATGTGGGTATGGAAAATTGATTTTTTTGTAGTAACTTTGAAACTATTTGACCAAATATTATAAAATTTGGAACATTTCCTTGTGATAACATACCTTTTGAACTGGTAATCACGAAAACCGGATACATCCACTCAATTTCCGGTTCCAGAAGTTGCAGGTCACATTTTCTGTGTTTTTCCATTTTTTTGCTCTCTTAACACCAATTTTTTATTGCCCAAAAGATAGAGTAATCAATTTCGAATAAAAAACTCATAACCTTTAATACCCCTAAAATGGACCGTTTCAAAGATATTTTAATTTAAACTGAGGACGCTGAAATAAAAAAATAGGGATTTTGAATAAATGATATCCACGGCAACAAATGACCATGGTCCCACAAATCGCTGTCAGGCATCTGTCAACTTTGACATTGGACGATTATTAGACAATTAATCGAAAATATTTAATAAAAGAGTTTACTTCAGACTCCAAACAAAATCTACAATAAATCCAAATCGATCTCGTAGCATTTAATTTATAAAAAATTCACAAAAATTTATCGTCAAAGTTAACAGATGCCTGGTAGGGATTTTTGTGACCATGGTCATTGGTTGCCGTGGATACCACTTATTCAAAATTCATATTTTTAATTTTCAGCGTTGTGCAGTCCTCATTTTAAATTAAAATATCTTTGAAACGGTCCATTTTAGGGGTATTAAAGGTTATGCGTTTTTTAATTGAAATTAATTACTCTATCGATTTGGGCAATGAAAAATTGGTGTTAAGGAAGCAAAAAAAATGGAAAAACACAGAAAATGTGACCTGCAACTGCTGGAACCGGAAATTGAGTGGATGTATACGGTTTTCGTGATTACCAGTTCAAAGGGTATGTTGTCACAGGGAAATGTTCCAAATTTTATAATATTTGGTCAAATAGTTTTAAAGTTACTACAAAAAAATCAAATTTCCATACCCACATTCCGAGGCCTGTAAATTTCTTATCAGTAGAGATAGGACACGAGTTATTATTTAAATTAACATCATTTTATGGGTCATTTTTGAGCTTCAAATATTGCTTCATATTTATGAATAACCCTGTATATTAAAGAACAAGTTTTATAAGGATTGATTTGAGTGCGCCAATGCCATTATAAAGCGAGTATTTTATGCTATTTTTTTCTAATTTGCGCCCCCTTTTTTCTTATTATAATTAAAAAAAAAATATTTTTGTCGTCTAGAGAAATTTGTGTTAGTTGATATCGGTTGGTAACACTCGGCGCCCACCTGATTTTTTGAATAATTTCTGCCGTCTGTCATTAAAAATAAAATTTACAAATTATTAGTTATTAGTGTTACAACATAATAATAATAAATAAAATATGAGCCAACAGAATTTAGTTTGCACTCCGAACGAAATTCGCGACATTGCCGAAGCAACAACGAAAAATTTGTTACCTGACAAGTCAGAAGCGGCATACAAAAACTAAATAACCCTAAATTCATTAAAGTACAGTGTGCTTTTATAGAGCCATAAACGACTCCTACTNCTTTTATAATATGATTATTTTATTAACTTATTATTAGTTATTAGCCACTCTGTTTCAATTATTATTAGCTTTGATGAACATAAGTCAGCTTAATCTTTGCTCATCATAACAAAATAATGCTGGGATATAAATCTTATTATTTCTTCAATTAGTCATTCTTTAAAAAATATTTCAGATATTTTACTGTAACTTTAATTTGTCTCATTCGTATTCAGCAACAACAATATACAGTGTGATTCTTAAATAGACCGACAAAATTTTATTACATCTTCCTAAGGATAAATGGAAACAAACTTTACCCTTTTTATTTTTATACCTTTTAAGGGCAAAACCCCCTTGATCCGTGCCACTTACGGCGTTTATGAATTGTTACAATAATCAAGTACGTTAATACCATGGTTACCACTACCTGTGCTAACACATCAGTGGCGTACGCTTTACTTGGAAAATAACTTTAATAAATTTTATTTAAAGAACGTTTAAACAAAGAATTTTTTAAATATTTTTTCCAGCATGTTCTCATTTGATACTACCAAGGATAAAATTTTGTCGGTCTATTTAAGAATCACCCTGTATACATTTATTGCATTTCGAATTATTTAAATCACTAACAATTGTTAGAATTTCTTGCATATTCTAGGAAATTTTTAGAAATTCTAAAAAGTCGTTTATTGCATATTGTGACTTACTGAATTGTAAATACACAGCAATATGATGTAGTTCGACATTTTTGGACATTTTTATTTCAAACTTAACTTCTTTTATAATGTTGCAAAATATCAATGACCCAATGACTCAACATTTTTGTTCATTATCTTCCTTAAACTGAAAGGAATGTGTTGTAATTTATTCAAACCAAGAAAAACAGTCTGAAAAACCAATAAAGAATTGTTAACCATGAGTTTCGGGCAATAAATTATTATCATTAACTTAATACACTTTTCGCCCACAGTCACACATTTTGAATATTATTGTTTTTTTATCGTTAGTGGAGGCGAAACACTTTAATAATAATTAATTACCATGTCACAATATAAAGTGTGTGTTATAGTAACATCAGTCGCAATAAAGTTTAAAATTTTATTTTGGTCTAATGATGTTTTTTTTTTCTTTTTTCCAATCTGAATGCAACGATTACGATGATGATTTTCATTGTAAATAGTCAAGTAGATGCGTCAGAGTTGTATTTTTACCTTTGGTACTGAATTTGCATCAGTTGATTACCTTGATCTGTGGTTTTAACCAAAGACGCTTTAAATTAGATCAAATTTGTGCGGAGGCACATTTTTACAAGTAAAAATTATAGCTTTGTTTATGTGGAATTTCATTTATGCAAATATTGATCTTGGAATTTTTACGGTAAGCTTAGTGTTAATTATTTGGTCACAATTTTTGAAATTGAAACATTTCTAAACCTTAGTTTTGCAATAGTAGTATGAAATCATTGATGACATCAAATCCTAACTTCGATTTGTACATATACATATAGCTATTGTGATGAACACATCCTAAAAAAGTGTGTCATTGTTATGAATGAAAACTTTGCGTAAGACGATTTTGGTTTAATTGAATTCTTTGACTCATTTAAATTTTTCAGCTTGTACTTTTTCAGATTAATGAGCCGTGAATTTATCGCTTCATTAATATCATAAAAAGCAATGTCATCATTATATTGTTCGCCATGTGGTATCATATACTGGGTGTCAACGAAACTATTAATTTTTTTGCTTAATTAATTTGAAACAAATACGTCATTAAACATCTAATCGGTACAGATAATTGTATAAATTACTACTGCAAATTAATTTTTAAGCAAATGTTCCTTAATTGAATTTTTAATAAAAAAATACAGATCTTTCTAATTAAGAATCATCTAAATATTATTTTCAACCGTGTAGTAAGCTTTATTATTTTTTTTTTTCTAATGACAATAATATGGCCCAATGAAATATTGCCCTTAAATATTTTCCAATTTTTAACATTTCATAACTTCTTTAATGTAGCATTACACAGGGTGTTAAAAAAGATTGTAAAATATTTAAGGAAATAATAGTACGGACCAAAATAAACAAAAAAGTTTTAATAAACATGGGTCCGCAAAGTAACGGTTTCGGAGATATCGCATGTGAAAATTTTTAGTATTTTTACTATACTCGTTTTCATATTAATATGCATCGAAGTAGTCGTTGAAAAAAATGATTTTAAGGTGGCAACCATGCGAAAATTCAAACAATCCTAAACTCAATCTTACCTAAAAACGTAATCAACATAGGATAGCAAACATAAAGATTTTTGTCATTATTGATGTGATTAAGTTTGTTTTGAATGACATTAATGACACTTTTTGTGTAAATCGGACTTTAAATTAAAGATTCATTTAGACTTCTACAACCTACTTGATGCACATTAATATGAAAAAGAGTATATAATCTTCTCTTTTTTGTTTAAACACATTGCGAATAAATATTTCAAAAAACAAATAATTTTCAATATCTCCAAAACCTGTACTTTGCGGACCCATATTTATTAAGACTTTTTTGTTTGTTTTGATCTATACTATTACCTTTATTTATATTACCTTAATATTCAACGTTGTTAACTGTTGTTTGATCAAAACTCTAACATTAGTCGAATTAGGTTGAAAAAAAAAATTTTTTCTAGAATTTACTGAAAATTTATTTGGTTTTCTTGAATTTATTTCCTGCTTTGTTATCTTGTCAGTCATGAATTTTTTTTGTTTCAAATTCCAGATTATTAATATTATAGTAGCAGCATGGTTTTGTAACTAAAGTAAACACCGGAAACATTGAAATTACAATTTTTAGGTATATTGACTTAATTAAATTTCCGATAAAAGTGGCTTGTGACTTGAAATTAACTTGACATTATTAAACCGAAGATGTGAAAATTGACAAATCTCATTTATTTCATTTCTATAATATTCAATATTGCCAACTTAATTTAAGTCACACAAGCCACTTTCATGAGTTATTAATCGGAAGCATAAAGCATAGTATCGTGAGTCTAAATAAAAACATGCTGAAGATTTCTCTGAAAATTTTATGAACTTATGTCTTAAATAGTAACTGTGAAATTTATTATAGTTAAACTTGCGTTAAGTATTGATTAAAACCAATTTTTTCTTGAACAAACTAAAAATTAGCATGTGTCACTTTCTACCTACCTTATGTAGTATATCTTAAATGTCATTGCATTATTATATGTGCAAAACATTTAATAAATTAAATGATTAATAAATTACGTTTTTATACAATGCGATCAAAAAGTCTGTCTATCAAGCAAGCGTAAAAATTTAAAATGTATGTCTGTGGAAGATAAAATGTCACAATGACAAATGAGAAATGTCAAAAAAAAAATTTATGTACATTATGACAGGAAACCGTGGTAAACAATTTTTATGAATAAACACCAACAAAATCTTATTTTAGTTTGTGTTGAGACTTTTCCTAGAATAATTCAATTTAATTAGCTTAATGTTTTAATGTTTATAAAATAATTTTTTGACATCTAGATAACATACGAACTGCCATGCAACATACGTCCTCAACTAGTAGGCCTACTTGATAGAAAGACTTTTTGATCGTACTGTATTTAGACGCACGATATTTAATGATTATCACCAAGGAGTTGTTTGTTTTGGGAGTTGTGTCATCTGTTACACTGGTGGCCAGAATATTGCCAACCATATCCTATTGTATTTGTACATAGTGTAAATATCACTGTTTCTGTTTTTTTTTTGCATACTTTTTTTGCCAATCCCAGCACGCTTTGCACCTTCTTTGCACCCATATTTCCGCTTGTTGCTGTTTGCGCGCCCCTCGTCGTTGCCGCTTCCCATCTGTTTGCACGTCGTCTTAGATAAATACGATGAATCCGATTGACGGTATACCAATGTTGGGTGCAGTGACCTGCCGGAAGATCGCTCAACGGTGCTGCTGCTCGGCGTCACCAGGATTCCGACCTCTCCGTTGCCGGCTCGTCGTCCCTGTACCCTCCCTCTCGACCCGAATCTAACCCTTTCGTCCACCCCTTCCGTCGAGAGCAATTCCCAAAAATCGTCGACTGCACAGTCACGTCGGACGTCGTTTTCGACGAGGCGACGACAGACGAAGAGTTCGTCGATCAAACGACGGCCCGAAAAGAGCGACGATTCGACGGGAAAATGCTCCTCGTCCTCATGGGAGAATCCCAACGACGACGACGAACTCACGTCGCCGTCTTCTAATTGCGTTTCGGGTAATGAAAACGCTTTTACCGAAACGGTGATGGACCGATCCGTGGACTCCATCGGGACTTGCTCTCTCGACGTTGAAGCGTCCGCTGATCTTTCAGGTATTCTGTGTGGCATTAGAATAAAGAAAAGGTTTTGGGCTCGATTTTCTGACTGCTTTCCTGTTTGCCGAGTGGACTGGAAGTGGGCCTCTATTGTTTTTGTATTACATTTATAATTCGAATGTTTGGTGTTTTTTTTTTTTTTTCTATTAGAAAACTTGTATTTTACTATTAGATAAGTATAACTTTCTGTTGAAATTCAGTTAATTATTTTCCGTAATTGCATTATTTTATTATGTTTAATACTGACGTTTTAGTCTAAAATAGGTACATAATTTCCAAATTTTTATTTTTATTTAGTAAGAAATTACAAACAAATGTGGGTTGTACCTTATTGATAATAATAAGGTAGCAGTGTCCATTTTATGGGTTATTTTATTTATTTTGTTCGAATAATTTTGAGCCGGGTAGTACAATGTTGGACAATAAATTTGTTCTACCACAAATGTCTAAATGACATTCGTCTCTAAAGCAGGCTATATGGGAACTAACCTCACCTTTTAAGTCTTGTCATGCATGGTTGTCATTTTGACATAGACTATCACAGATTATTAAAGCTGCAAGAATTTGTTTACGTGACATTTATTGTCCGGCACTGTACCAATTGCGGTCACGGAATTTTGGACATCAAATTAATGTCAGTTTAAAAAATGTCAGTATGAGCCATGCTTTATTGTTATTATGATTGACGTTTGAAATTAAAATTTGAAAGTTTAAAGTCTCAGACTACTTTAATTGATCGCATAGTAAAACTTGTCATGGTATTATTGGTAAATTAATTACATGTAATGTCATGGTAATGTCTAAACTTCCACATAATTTATTAATCAGTGGTGATTTGTTTGTGTCATTGTCATTTCGTCAAAAAATTTCTCTAATTGTGCGACGGAAATGATCTGTTTGCTTACTTAACGATTAGATTATTGCTTAATTATAGCAATTTATTTCTTCAAATACATTAATTTAGTTTAATGTTTCTTTATTATTTCTAGAGTACTGTGATTGTCAAATTTTAATTAAACTGTTTCCATACGCTTTATTTCAAATGCAAGAAGACATTTTTTCTTTTTATTTATATTTTTAATTTTTAACTTTATTTTTTCGTTTTATGATTAATAAATTGTTCAGTTGCCAAATTTGTGTAACGAGGTATGTATTTTCAAAACGAACACCAAAAATTTATATGCTTGGTTCATTTTTGAATTTTATAGTTTTTTTTTTAGAATGACAATCAAATGATATTGTTCCTTATTTAATACCACTGGCAAAAAAATGAAAAAAAATGTTAACAAAATAATTTCTTTTTTACAGCAATTAATTTTACTGAAACTAATTGTTCGAATAAATCTTAGGTTTTTTATTTTCATATATTTATAAAGACGTCGTTAAGCCCTATTTGACTGTGAATAAAAAAGAATTTTGTCGTTTTATTATACAGGGTATAGGGTGTTATTTAAGAAGTAGCAATTTTCATCGTTGATACGTTGATGAGAAATGTCACAACTTGTTTCTCTAACTTTGCTACAATTAAATTTTTACTACTTATTTTAATTTGCAAACTAAACGTTTAAAAAATACGTATATCAGAACAAATTCAAATAAAAGTTTAATTTTATATCTTGTTTTTTACGTGTTTTCGTAAATTACAATATTACTGTTTTATTCATTAAGTACACAATTTATTGTACATCTCTAATCGCAAATGATGTTTCCAGACTGGTCTGAAGCTTCTTCCGGTGGCACCCTCCGAAGCGCTAGCATCAAGACCCCCACGACTGAGCCTCATTTACCCTCTTATCTCAGTTTGGCCTGCACTGTTAACGGCTACTCCACCACAACCAACTACGACCCGGTGCGCCTTGCCCGATCTCGAGACACTTCCCCCCATCGTCTCGATAATGACAATTTGACACCAAAAAACTTACCAACTTATTCCATCCAGAACAATCTCCTATCGCCCCCAAATCTTGTCCCTTTACCCACCCACATCAAACCCAAAATGGCCGACCATACGCTCACCCACCACTACCAGTCGACCAAAACCATGACGTTCCAAAAACACACCGAATCTCATCATTTCGCCTCGAAAGTTTACACTAAGGATACCATCGATGCCTGCTATGACCACAAGAATCTCACAAACAAATGCTTGAATTACGACACGAAAAATTACTCCTCGAAGATGAACGGACAGAGCAAAACGACTGTCAAGGAATTTGCTTCAAACACCGAAACGAAATCGTTTATTGAACAAAGAGTGGAGAGACTATACGGACCTGGGGCTTTGGCACAGGGATTTTTCGTGTCGAAGAGGCAGAAGTATGGCGATTCGGAATCGGAGAATGAGAATTTATTTGGGGAACAAAACGGAACGGAATCGCCGATGAAACAGAGTAATAGTAGTCCGGCTCTACCCGTTTTGAGACACTTAAGGCCTGAGTTTCGAGCACAATTGCCCATTTTGAGTCCAAGGAAAGGGGTCGAGAATTCAATGCAAAAGAGTAGCACTGTGCCCACGTTGAAAGATGAGGTCAAAGTTAACGGGCATAGTAAACAGATTGCGGCTAGTGAAGGGGATAACGTTGCCAAGATGACCATTAAGGAAGAAACAGGTGAGGGAGTATTACAAGTTTCTAAGCTGTAGTCTTGAAAATATTATATTTCGAAAAAATTGTGTTAATGTTTTCATAGACTGCTAATTTAAATACAGATTTGTTTTATTTTATTGTTAATTAATATACAGGGTGAGCCATAAATAAAAAAGACCCTAACCGATTTTGTGGCATTCTTCATTTATCAAGATCTTGTCTACTTTTTCGTCGTTTGAGTACATTTTGAATTCAAGGGAAAAAAAGTTTATTGATGATACTCTCAAATTTGACGAATGACATTAACAGCTACTTTGAGTTAAATTTAATAATAATAATCTAAATTTTTCAAACATAACCAAACCCAAGTTGTGTCTGAGAATGTATTTTGGGTTGCGTCTGAAAATTGGTCAGGGTCTTTACTATAAATGTCTCAGTCTGTAAATATTTTTATTCACAATCATAAAGTAATAATCAAATTACCTTGCATGTGAAAAGTTGGAAAGTATGACATTTCTTCATTTAAAAACTGATACGAAATATCAGGTTCATGTTAGGAAGTGGTCACTTTCTTATCACCTTTAACAGTTGATATGTAATATGACAGTTCAGGTTGGGAAATGGCCACTTCCCAAAACTGCCATATGTGATGATTTTCAAAATTTAATAAAATCTTTATTAATTTTCTGTTCTTTAAGGATGATAAAGTACTGCTCTGTACATTTCTTGACACCGATGTCCTCATACTCGTTCTATTGCGGTACATAACCATGAGAAGATGCATTGTCTAGTATTAAATATTTGTATAATTTAATTATTTCATGTCACAGCTGATGACAACTGAGAACCCTGATCGGTATAAGCGTAATCTTCTACTAACTTTTTGTATTTTGAGGGTTTTGTAAATAGCCAATAGAAACGAAGTACCCTTTTCATGCCTTTTTGTGCCATCTGCTAGATATTTTAGTCGACCACAGCGGCAAGAAATTTCTAACAAGCTACTTCAAGGCCATATGTTTGAACCCCTGCCCTTGAACATTACTCGAGGTGCTATCGATTTCATTTCGAACTGACTCACAAGGTGGCGCTGCCATCTGTTATTCTCGCCTTTTGAACGTTTATTCTGATGATATAGTCGTGTTAGTACCAAACTTCAGTATCGCTTCTCGGCCTTATGGCTAAGATCAAAGTGTAGTATCTGTTCTTATCAGCTTAATATCTGATACGCCCCGCATGCGGGGCCAGTATATTAAACTGATTTTTGGAAATTGACGGAGGCTAGGGGCTTGCTCCACCTCCGTCGCGGGTTGGCCCGACATTGCAGTACAGTCGGGATCGGCCCACCTGATTCAATTTAAACGTTTTTGAGGATAGTATAACACCTCGTCCTTCGTTGTAGTTTTTTTTTTTAAACTATACGACGGCGACGCATTTATCAACTTTTTACACTGCACTCTATTTAGCAATAATTTGAATAAAAAAAAATACTTTAAGTAAGGGCCAGTTTCATAATCGAATGTGAAATTTTTGTCAACAAGTCCGTAGTTATCAGCACATTCTAAACCAACATTAATTTTAAAGTTTTAACTTTAATTAATTAATCGAAATAAAGGGACTTTAAAAATGTATATTTTTCACTTACGAGGAATTATTGATGCTGCCCTCATTTATCTTAGAAATTTATCATTTTGGCATCAGAAGAGTGACATTGACAGTCATTTTATCGTTTTTTAATCTAATCACGTTCTTATTGTGTGCTTTTTTTGTAACAATTATGTGACGATCCTGGCAGTAAACAACAAATAAATTTTCGCGATGAGTGTATTATTAGAAATAATTATGTTTCCGTTCGAAAGAGTCACTGACACGATTTATTTGCTAACGAAGAAAGTGTACGATTTCGTAAAGGTGTTTTTTCAAAAGAAAATTACTATTTGTGCAGGTGAAAAGGACGGTCATTACTTCTTGAAAATCCTGCAGAACGAGACGAACCGACTTCTGCAATCGGCTGACAAAGTGGACAGCGAATTATCTAATAATGAATTGTCGGAGGAAATCGTCGGGAAAATTCATTCAGCGTCGGGTAAAGCCAGACTTCTAGTATCGCAAAAAATGCAACAATTCAAAGGATTATGTACGAATAACATCACACAGGTAATAGCTGTTTAGCACTGATTTTATCAATTAGTAACGATTTGTTTTCTGATAGAGCGAAAATGAAGCTTTCCCTACCACGAATGAAGATCTGCAAGGCTTTTGGGACATGGTAATGCTTCAAGTCGACCAAGTGGATGCTCTATTTAAAGAAATCGAAACGCTGAAAGCCAACAATTGGCAAGAGGTGGGTTTGCATTACAAATAAAAATAATGTATAATTGTTTTCTCATAGGTGAAACCAGAACCAGTGAACGTGACGAATGGCAAAGCGAAGAAAGTAGTGAATAGAGTGAAACCAATGTCGGCAGCGAGCGAAGAAGCCCGGAAGAAGCGTGAAGCACAGAGGAAGCATATGATTGAAGAAAGAAGGAAGGCGATGAAAGCCCAAAAACCACTAGAAAGTATTGAAATATTTGTGCCTGAATCTAGCTGAAATTTATCAAATTTTTAGAAGTCATATAAAATATTTATACCTATTGACTCCAATAATATTTTGTGAAACTCCTTTTAAGATCAGGTGGTAAATGTATAAATATTGTTTTTGATGGTGTTTTTGAAATTTTTGTTGTATCGTGTAGTTTGACCTGCACTGAATAATTCATGTCAAGACTGAGTTTGAAATTTTTTATCAGTAATACTAAAAAAATAACCAAATAACTAGGTACCCCACTGGTACATTCCCAGTGCTTTTACAAAACAGGTGTAATTTTTTATGTAATTTTACCATTTTGCATGTCTCATTTGTTGTGTAATATTATATTGTTAAATTTTTTACTACAGTTGGGTTCCTTCCTCTTAATTTTAAAAATGAAGTCACTCTAAATATTTATAATTTGCAAAATCAAATAAGTAAGATAAGATGTACCATTTATTATATTCAAATTGTATTTATACACATAATAAAATTTTCTTCAACTTTTGCCACAAACGTTTCATTTCGATCAACATCCAATAATCTGATTAATCTTGACTTTAGTAAAAACAAAATTATACCATTTGCATTTGCTGTTCTTCTTCCAGGTGAAATCAGTGATGCTAAAGAATGAATGCTGTCAACTAGTATTGGAAATTATTTTAATTTGTATTTTTAAAGGATGTCCCAATATTTTTTAAAAATCATAGATATTGTTACAAATCTCTATGTTCGAAATTTATTAAACCAATTTCCTTTCAAAATATCTACAAAAAGTTCATTTGGTAAAGAAATATATTTCAAAACGAATTTCACAATAACAGAAATACAAACTTTTTAAACTTAAAATATGCACAATTCACCACACATATCAAGAGATACAAATATGATAACGATTCCACTTATAAAAAATATAAACCAGTGACACAAAAAAATAGAATGTGCCTTGTAAAGAAAAAAATCAATTACAGTTTGGCGTTGGCTTTAAGAAGTGGTGCCAATTTTTGCGCTAACATGATATTTCCGGTAACTTTAAGTTTCCCCTTCATGAAAGCAGCTTGCGGTTGCAATTTTCCCTGCGCTAGGAGCATAAAATCTTCGTCTGAAACGGTCAAAGTGGTGCTCGGTTTACCCTCAGGTTTCCCCTCGTAAACTTTGGCGTTTTTCAAATCCATTGCTGCAAAAATTTAATCAAAATTTGTCCACGCTTAATTTTTGAAACTTACTCCATTGTTTGACTTCTTTGCCATTTTTGGTGATTTTATACAAAAATACTCCTCCAATTGATTTGGCTTTGTTTGGATCGGCTTTCACTTGCTCGATTATGAACTCGAAAACTGCATCACTTTCCAATGTAGGAGCCGAGACGGAGTTGTTGATTGGTTCCATTATTTTGACCGAATTCAAATCCACGTACGCTCCTGGAAAATTTATTTAAAGACTAGAATATATCTCAAGTGTCGATTTGATAAAAATCCGATGAGAAATGTGAAAGTCACGGCACGATAAAATTGTTTTTATGTGAGGTTATGTAATTTGGAGAGTTTGCGACGAAATCAACTGTGATTGGCTGAAATTATCGAACCACAAAGTTCATTGGTCCATCCATTTCTGATTTAACGCGCACAATTCAAAATTGTGAGCTTTTAATAAAAGCATTATTTATGGCTAAAGTTAAGTTCTAAAACATGTAAAATTTTATTTGCACTCTAAATTATCAATTGAAGCGTAATAACACAAATTTTTATTTCACATTTTTTAAAACACAACAATGTTTTGAATTTAAGAATCATTTCCAGCCAAATGTTTTCCATATTTTTAAACACTAATAACGTTGTATAGTATATTGCATCCATTTAAAACGATTCATTGTTCACGATCAATAAAATTTAACGTTCCATAAAATTTAATTTTGATTAAAACCTACAGTGTGCATTAAAGTTCATGAAATATTACCTTATTCAAATAATTCCTTTTTAACTCGCTGTGGGTTTCGTCGCAATACTTTGAACTTCTAAACTAATTAAGGTGATACACACTTAAAACAATTGATAGACAACACCACCTGCTGCAATCTAAATTCCTGATAATTTTGTTCTTAAATGTTCAACTATAACATGCCAATATACAAAGTTCAATGACGTAATAGAAAAATCATTGAACTTTGAACCTTGATTATTTGCAACAATGTTTTAGAAATTTAAAGCTAATAATATAATAAACGCTATAAATATTTTAATTTTTAAAATACAGTTGATTAAATTATGAACAGTCAGTGTTTGTAATTGACGAAAAAAATAAAAAAAATTACGTCCATTATGCTTATCTAGAAATAAATTATTTATTGTTTCAGTATCCAAAAGGCTTAGTCATGGATGTACAATAGGCGGACATTTTTTTCCCACAGAAAAAAAAATAAAATAAAATAATCTAAAAAAATTCTATCAACTGATAAGAATCTTTCAATGTCTACAGATATTTATCAGTTTTGTTTTAGGATAAGGCCTCACAGAAATATTTTATCTAAAAATGAACAAAAAAATGCAAAATAATAAAAATTACTATGCCCTTAATTTAATTTTTTAATTTAATTTCCAATTCTTTAGTCTGTGATTCTTAAATTATGGTTGCAACATTGCAATTTGACACATCTTACATCTTCTGTATTTCTATTTTGCAATGTTACCAACTTAATTTCAAAGTCACAGGCCACTGATCAGAAATTCAATTAAACGCATGGTACTTTCTCGTCTGCAGCGACAATTTCAATTGTTTTCCATTAGTCAAAAGTGACAGCTTTCTGCACTAGTAAAAAAAATCAACAAGACCGAAAGCATTCATGAAACATCTTTTGTCAAACTTACCTCCGATAACAACAGTATTTGTCTCCACCACACTAGTCTCAAAATGGATTCTATTGCCTTCCCTCCAAAAGTCAACTCTGAGGGTTTGTCCAGGAATCACCGGTTTCATAAACCGAGCCTAAAAATCTCATGTAATTTCCCTAGATTAATCAAAATAGTTTTTTTTTTACCTTGCACGCTTTAACCAAACTAGAATCACCACCAGCATATGCCCTCACCAACAACCTGACCGAAAAACCTAAAGTACACAAACCGTGAAGAATCGGTTGTTTAAATCCCGCCACCATTGCCATGTTAGGGTCAATGTGAAGCGGATTCGTATCACCCGAAAGTCTATAGAGGGCAGCCTGGTCTATGGTCGTTTTGTCAGTAAGACTCATATCGGGGGCTCGTGACGGCTTGACTTGACAGGGTATTGCTTTAGTACCCGTTCTCGGTCCACCGAAATTACCAGCACCGACAACGAAAGCTACAGTTTGGTTGCGGATAAGTAAATTTCCCTGCTCGTCGAAAGTTTCAACTAAATTTGAATAATAAATGAAAAATTCCAATTTTACTAAGAAATAAATTACTGTTTTGGACTATGGCAGCTCCGGACCCTTTATCCAAAACTTCAGCGATTGTGTTCTTCGAAAACAATTTTCCTTCTTTCGGTACTTCCCCCAAAAACTCGATATACTGCTCACCATGTAAAATTTGAGCTAAACTAACTGACTTTCCGGGAATCGCCGATTCGAGTTTCGAGGAAGTGAACATTGCTTGCATTGCTGGCAATATGAAAAATGTCGGCAAGGCGCTGAAATCTTCGTCGTTTTCGTATAGAAATTTCAGCTCAGTTGGATTTTTCAAAGAAGCACCCACTAAAAATTGGAGTAAATACTTAAGAAAAAAAAAATTCAAAAAGACTGCCCCAGAGGACGAAAAACTGTTCTGTTCATATATAAATGTTAAAAATACCTCCAAGAGCATACAGAATGATGTCTTTCTGTGTAAAGTTATAAACGTCAACTTCTTCGTCTTTGACTTGGCCTGACCGAAGGCTGTCAAGTGACGTCATTAAAGCACCGGTCGCTTCTTGAATAGAGTCCAAATGTTCAGCGTTGGTCATTGATGTTACCTTCTGCCATTTATCACGCACGTTTTCTACCGAAACACCGTCGGTGACTTCTGTACGTAATAGACTACCGTTGGAACGAATTATTTGACATTTTCCGGCCCAACCAGCGGCTGATTCAATTATAGAGCCGTTTTCGGTGCAACTTTCGTGGCATAAGTAGGCCTAAAAGTTTTCAATATTACTTCCATTTCACTGTTTGAAAATTGAAAAAAACGTGAGACTCCAGTGAGTTGTATAAACAACAAGGACGTTGAGAAATAAGCAAAACTAGTACTAAACTGAAAATCAAAATAAAATTTAGGTCCGATAAACTAGTCGTAAATTGTTTTAGTAATTTTCCTATGACAAAAAATTGATCTAACTTCTAGCTAATCACAAAATTTAAACGAATTTATCTGAAATGCACAAGTGTAACTGTAATTTTTTTTAGCAAATATAGCAAAATAACTGTTCAAAATTTCGATAACAAATAAAGAAAGCTGTTTTGCAAACTTATGTTGTAAAAAAAAGCCTGCATCTTACCACAACAGGTGCAATCAACTCTGGTTTGAGTTCAGCATAGAGATCAGGTGGCAAAATATCTTCAGTGAGTCTACTTGCAGCTGTTGGTACAATAACATTGCAATGTATGTTACTCTTTGCTCCTTCAATTGCGACAGTATTCGCCAAACCAACAAGACCCATTTTAGCAGCGGAATAATTTGCCTGACCAAAATTACCTAAACGAATAACATTAGATAATATGACAACAAAATGATCAAAAATAGAACCATAAAGTCCAGAATTTGAAGAGGTCATAATAATTCTCCCATACCCTTGTTTTTTAAATATAGGAAACGCAGCCTGAGTGGTTTTAAAACTGCCTTTCAAATGCACAGCATGAACCAAATCTATGAATTAAAAACAATGAATGTTTCAGTCAGTGATGAATGTTGCAATGGAGCTACCCCAATCCTGATCAGATATTCTAGCAAAACTCTTGTCTCGCAAAATTCCCGCATTGTTAATTAAAACATCAACGCGTCCAAAATTATCGAGTGCCGTTTTTATGACCTTATCGCCATCAACAACGGAATTATAATCAGCAACTGCTGTGCCCCCTACAAATTTAAAGATAAAAACACGAAAAAAGATTAAAATAAGGCATTCAATACCATTTCTTTTAATTTCCTCAACAACAGCATCTGCAGCGCTTGAAGATTTACCATCACCATGTCTGCCGCCTCCTAAATCATTAACTACAACTTTAGCCCCTCTTGAACCAAATAACAGGGCGTAAGCTCTTCCTAAACCAGCCCCAGCTCCAGTAACCACAACGACTCTCCCATCGAATCTTAGGTCGCCCATTTTCTACAAAAATTATTGGAATTGTAAATTTAAGCAAGCAACACTTCAACACTAACTGAGTTATTAATTATTATTATTCAGTTGAACTTTGAGCAAATTATAAAAATCTGTCTTGTCATGCGTATTGACAACGTAAACGAAGTTTATGGAAATGTAAACAAGATATAGGAATTAATATTGCCCCTTCTACATTCCTTGAAGTGTTTTTTTTTCTGGAAGAACAACTTTCTTTTTGACGTTTCACTTGGCAATTACACTAATTAGCTAATTTTAGTAAATTTGGAGAAAAAGCAAAAATGTAGGAATTGTATGCAAGTAGATTCTATTGGTCAAGGTTAGTAGTTTACATAGAATTGGATATTAATTAAACAATTAAAAAATAAACTAGGCATTACATAACCTATCTCGTCATATTTTGACAGGAGTGACAGATTATTGTTGATTTGTTGAGTTAAAGGTTAAAAAGGGCGGGATGTTTAAAGTTTGACTCAAAAATCCCAAAATGAGGCTTTTATTGAAAAAATGACAAAATAAAACGTAATAACGTAATAAAGAAGATAGGGTTGGGTTGGGTTAAGAATTATTTATGCTAATTTCAAAACTTTATCTATTATATCTATTAGCACTTATAACTAAAAAAATAATAATTTTATATTTTAACATTATGTATAAATTTAAAATAAAAAGCTTTTGATCTTACAAAGCCAGTAAATAAAACATTTTGAATCTAAGTTTCAGATTTTTGCATCGGCTCAACAAAATGTATCTTAAAATAAGCCATAGATTTTTAGCAAAAAAAAAACAATTTGTACAAAGCAAAATGATATACCTCTCTATATAATATTTTATAACCTGTTGTAATGATATTGTGGTTTAATTTTAAAGAAACTTGTGTAGAATTATTATAAAAAAGCTACGAAATAAACAAATAACTATTTTTTCATTAAAATCTTACAATAAAAACAACCCTTTACATTTTGTGTGTAGTAAAACCACAGGTAAAACGCCCTTGCCATAATAGAATAGTATAAAAAAAGTCAAGATTATTTATTGATCACCCTGCGGCATAAAGCCACTTAGGCTAAATTTTTTTGTCAAAAAGCGTTACAAAAACAATTTTTTTAATAGTTTGTAAGAGCGACATTTTGGTTGCCACTGCTTAAACTCCCATATTCAGCTGGATCAAGTTAGCGGCTGTTTCAAACAGCTGATCCAATCCCAGCAACATATGTTTTTGTTTACATAAAAATTCACTTGTTTTTCAATCGTGCTGTCAATCGAAACCGAATCATCTATCATTTTCTATTTCCACCTACTAAATAAAATTCAACGGTAAGTCCCTTATTTTAAATTCCGCGCAAATGACGTATTTCCGCATGTCCGTATCACGCCCCCACCTCATAATCGTGCACACGTGCGAAATGCATTTTCCACAAAATCTGTTCCTCCGTCACAGCTAATGGTGCAGGTGTTTTCATATTCAACTTTTCTAGTCTCAAATTTTCGCATATTTTCAACGTTTTTCTTAAATTTGTGGTAAGTCCAGATAAAACTTTGGGCGTGTCATGAGTAAAAATGTCGCCACGTGTTTGATGTTCACTATTTCCAGATCCAGCATGGTACAAAACGACAGTTCAAACTCAGGAGATGAAAGTGCGCCGATCGTCGTGGCCCCCAACCCGGCCAAGGGCATTCCCACGGGGAAGTACCGGCTGGTGGGCTGGGGGGTGGACACGACTGGCCGCCGTCTCATCGACGAGATCTGCCAGATCGCCGCCTACAGCCCCTCGAGCCAGTTCTCTCAGTACATCATGCCCTTCTCGGACCTCAACCCTTCCTACCGGCGCAAGCACAGCATCCGCGTGGTCAACACGGGCCGCTACCGGATGCTCAAAGACATGCGTTCGAACAAATTCGTCAAGACTAAGAGCGACGTGGCGGCCCTCACAGATTTCCTCAACTGGCTGGAAAAGGTGCGGGGCGACGCCGACGACGGCATCATCCTCATCTACCACGAGATCCGCAAAGCCTCCCCCGGTATGCTTCTCGAGGTGCTTCGCAGGTACAGCCTTCTAGACCGGTTCAGCAAGATCGTCAAGGGCTTTGCGAACGGTTTCAACATTGCTCAAGCGAAATGCGCTAAAACTACCAAATCGTTCAGTCTGAGAGTTATGTCCAAAGTGCTCCTGAATCGCGAGGATGAGGATTTTTCAAGCGCCGTCGACAGGGCGAGGGCTTCGTACGAAATCGCCGCGCATTTAGCTCAAGGCGAGCGCCAGGACTTGGACGAAAAGAAACCCACAGGAACGGAACCTGAAATTATCAATTTTGTTTGCCCTTTTGTTAATCCGATTTCAGCAGAAGAAGAAGAAATTGCTCAGTTTAAGGTGAGGTTTATCGGAGGGTGATAAGTTTTTCCATCGCTTATCGCATTTTTTTTGTTCTAGGTGTTGCTGGAAAGGCAAAATACTTTCCGCCCCGTTTTTGGTGCCTTATTGAGAGCGAGTCGCCCAGAAAGACAACATGCGACTCATTTGAGACGACTTTTGGCCGAAAATAATATTAATTATGATAAGTTGAAGCAGGCATATGAGAATGGTGCTAAGGATGGATTAGACAAGGTGCTAAAAAGTGAGGTAAATGAACCTTTTTTTTCATATTTTATCTTAATTATATTTTTACCAAAATCGGGATTTTGTATAAAATTTAATTTTATGGGTGTAAAAATTGAGACGTGATACCAAGTTTTACTCTAAAAATTTTATTAAAGAACATGCAATTTGTGCTAAAGTACCTAAATTGAAACAAATTGATTTTTTGACTTATTTGATAGTATAGTATATTGTGAAGGTGCTGACATACTAGTGGCTTGTTGTTTATTGAGTTATAGAGGATATTTGAATAATTTCACTAAAAAGTGGGAGGGTGACAATTTGGCAGAGTAATTATTTAGTTCCCAGAAGTAATTGAAACAAAAACAACTTAAAGTAGATCAAAAAACAGTAGGTTTTCGATTATTTCTGAAACGGTCTTAAGATACGTGTTTTTCTGTTATTAGAGATTTACTTTGTTTACAGGTGGCGAACGCTAAAGAGACTGAATTGAACGAGCTATTGGACATTTTGGATTGTTTCTTCGATCCAGAGAAGAAGGCGGTTCAGCCCAAGCCGCGGTATTATCAAAACCAGAACAACAATAGGAAACCTCGAGGTACGAGAAAATCCTTCAACAAGGATAGAAATTCAGAGTCAACGAGTAGTCCGAACGTGTCGTCTGATAATCCGATAGAGAAAACTGGAACGGAATCTGAAAAAGAGAAGACTGTAGAAGTGCAATAATTGTGCCTTTGACAATTTTTCGTTGATTTTTTTTACACTTCTTTCGTTGCTTTATTAATCAGTTAAGAATTTTTTATTTTATTTGTAATTATTATTAATGCGTAATTTTTTTAATTTAACGAAAGGTGTGTTACTTTATGAATAATTGTGTTAATATTTTCGGAGTTTATTTGCATTTTGTGGAGAAAATCTTAAGTTTAGAGAAGTCATTGTTGATCGTGATAATGAGATAATATATTGCAATTATTATATATTAAGTTTGATAATGGGTGATTTTTCTGTGACAAATTTGTTTAATATTTGTTACATACCTGTTATTTATTAAAAAATATAACTATTAACGATATTTGTTTACTTTTTTAACCTGCTTACGACGATTTCCAAATGCCATTAAAATAACCACATTGGTATGTAATGAAACAGGCTGAAAAAGTTTGCATCCAAAAATTTCGTGTTTGTAGGTGCTTTATTTTTTTACAGATATTTTTATACATGTGAACTTAATAGAAATGTGAAAAGTTGAGTTAAAGCTCTTCACCAAGCGATGTCGCCCAATGTCTGAAGTATGAAATTGAAATTTTAAAACAGTTGTTTTCTTTACTTTCAGGCTTTTACAATACGCTTTAGAATTGTTTTTTTCTTTACGTTCTAATAATAATTAATTACTACAAATATAATATAATAATTATTTATCACGAGGCTAAATATAAAAACTTGAAGCAAATTTTACTCTAACAAAAATATTAAACAAATTTATTTTAATTAGTGCATATCAAAGAACCAAAAACACCAGAATTTTGCATCAGAATTTTTGTAAATGTTTTCAGGTTACCGACTGGTATTTTTATTTATTTTTGGTAAAAAGTAAGAAGTTCTAAAAATAAAAAAGAACACATTTTATTTTCTGCTCCACATGATTTTTTTTATAAATTATCTAATTTTGTTAATTTTTAATCGGTGTTTTCCTTGTTAATGCAAGCTTTTTAAAATGAAAACAGTAACTGAACGATTATTTGAGCGTAAACGTGTTTGTGTAAAAAGTATCGTCGTATGACTGTCCTTATTACAGTGAACACCTGTGTAAAGAAAACGTCGCTGATAGGCAACAGCACCGGAATAGACGAGCATCTGGTTCCGGTGTTGTTCACGACATATCGTAATATCGTATTGAAGTAAACAACACACATGGAGATTTTTATTTTTATTCAACATTAAATTGCTGTTTTCTTAAAAAAATATTAAACACTATTTAAAACACAAATTTAATTTAATTAAATTCAAGGGTAATTAAAGCAAGTTACGGTTGTTACAAGCACAATACCGCATTCATAATCAGTATACACTTTACAAATTATGCACGTTGCAAAATTTTCATAATAATTAAGATATTTTCAAACCAAAACATATAAAGAAATGCAGTTCACCTGCTGCTAGAGTTTTGAACAACAAAGAGATTTTGTTTAGGTACCTATGCTGCGATAATATTCGGTGTACATACATTCAATTTTGTATTTATTTAATCAAATTAACTAATAGTCTAAGAGCCCGAGGTCGCCAGACCTTCGTCATTTTATAAAAGTTGAAAAAAAATGTCTACCTAATGTATTTTTTTCAATTATTTTTAGAACAAAATAATAGAAGAGTGAATTTGTTTGAAAGATTTTTACGAGATGTTTTTTGGGAATTTCGACCAAGGTTTCCAGTTGACATTTTTAATGCCGAGTTTGATCGGTATTTTTTACGTTTGGTAAATTTCTCTTGAAATTACTTACCCAATTTTGTAATAAAGTTCCGGTGCTTATAAAAAGACATGTATGTACGTAGACATTTGTGCAGCGTCTATGCAATCACGGATTAGATAAAAAACGTTTCGCTCGTTCTTGTAAGGGGCATCTTCAGGACAAAGGGACGAAGGGCTATGACATTTAACTCAATAATATCTGAATGATATCGGAGGCGAAATCGTAACTGTGACATAGGTCTTCTTTAAAAAGATCCAGGTTCAATCTTACTGGTCGCAAAGCCAAAGTTATTTGATATTAATTATTTTTTTCAACCGAAAAATAAAAATCAACTTCATTTTGTCCGTTTTTCGATGACATGTGCGCTGTATAGACAAATACAATTTACAGGAAAACGTTTTATAATCAAATTTTAAGTAATAACTACTGCGTGTTCAAAAAATGATAGATAAAAAAATTGTTGCTAAGTTGCAAGTGGTTGAAATTAATGTATTTATTTCTGTTGAATGTGATATGTATAAATGTTTCATTACAAAGATGAATAAGAAATGATTGAATTTGTTTCAAATGGCTGAAATTAATATTAAATTAAGCTAATTTAATTTAACTGAAAAGCCAATTCTCACACAGCCACTGACATTTTACATTAATGTGGAGAATATATCTTTTAAAGCTGAAAAATTAATATACTCGTACACAGGATGAATTTAATAGTTATACAGAAATTTAAAGAAGTGAAATAATTTGACTTGCCTTATTCGAACGTTCAGTTTTTAAAATATACAAAGTGTCCGGAAAAAACGTTGTTAGGAGGTGGTTTTCTGAGAATTAAAAAAAAGTTTTTATGGACCTATGTCTATATCCAGAAATGCTTCCTAAGAGAGCTCGAGCGATATATCGACCTTAGAAGAAAACTCACTGCGAGTAAGTAAGTAAGTAGGTAGATTAATCCCAGTGTCTCCACTTTCTAATTAGGATAAACAATTTTTGATATCACCAAAAGATTCAACACCAAAAAATGAATCCAGATACAAACTGGAAGCTCTAGCTTTCTCGGAAAGCATTTCCGGACCTAGGAAGCTACCCCTTTATTTTTTGGACACTTGTATATTATGTAGAAGAAACCTTGAATCAAATTTTAAACATAAACAACAAAAATAATAATTATAAACAAATATCTGGGGTTTTAATTCCTCAATTTCAACTACTCACATTGAGAAAAATAGCAAAAACAGCAACAAAAAAATTCCTTTGAATTGTCTTTTTGTTTCGAATTTTTCTACGCTAAAATCGAGGAGGTTGCAACCTCCAAATCTCAGAAGTTATAAACATTTAGATAAGGCAAACTAACTTTAATGAAAAATATGTTTGTAATAAATAACAATTCATTGTTAATCACCCAGAAATATCTTTGTCGACCCTTGTTCCGTCTTCAAATACTAAACTAATCAAAACGAAAGTAAAACCTGTGTCAGTTTCCGGGGTTCTCGCCCAAACAATACATCTTGAATACCTATAAAGTCAGTGTAACCCTCGATGCATTGTTCCCTCTATGCAGTTTACGGGTAGGAGAATGCGAAGGCCGCTAGAACCGTACCAGAAAGGGTGTAATTTATATGCCGAGGGCCACGTTATCCCTGTCCGCCACCATCAATCATTGTGCCGCTGCAATGGGAGGAGGAGGAGGAGGAGGAGGACTGGAGGGTGGCGGCGCGGTGACGGTGGAACACCCTTCCTATGCAACAAACGGTGCACACCAGTCTCAGACCATTGTCACGTGATTAAATATATTTTTATAAATAGATATACAGAGTGGTTATAAATGATTTTCATCTAGCCAGCATCGGAATTTTTTTGCATGTAACTTTATTTGAGTCGCTCTACTTTTTTGAAAGCTCTAGTTCTGTCATTAGTGTCACTTATTAATTAATAATAAATTGTTGTTAATTAAATTTTTATTGTTTCAACTAATTCCCAATAATAATTGATAATAATGTATATACGTACTTTGGAAGAGAATAAGTTTATAAATTGAAGTCTATTTTCGAAGTGGACGCTTAGTAAACGGCGATTTTTTAATTTTGAGTTACAAGAAGTAGGTACCCCTATTTTCGTAAAGCGGCATTTTTTATTTTACATGGAATATTCACAGCTGACTAGAAGAAAATCATTTATAACCACTCTGTAGTACCTTTATGCACTTGTTTGATTAACGCAAAATTAAAGAAAAAACAAGAATTAATAGAAACTTTAAGTCTAATAAAGTGTGAGATTGTTCATTTTCTATTCAATTAGCATGGTTCTATGTTATTTATCTAGTAATCATTTTTTTAAATAGAACACACTGTATATTAAACTTGTTTGTGTAGGTATAATCTTTTTCATTTTAATGTTCATCAAGTGGGTTGTAGAAGTCTAAATACATCTTTAATTTAAAGGCAGATTCACATAAAAAGTGTTATTAATGTCATTCAGAACAAATTTAATCACATCAATATTGACAAAAATCTTTAATTTTGCTACCCTATGTTAATTTTAATTATTTTTTGCTTCCTGGGGTACACATTTATTAAAAGAAGGTAGTTTTTAGGGAAGTCTGAGGTTAGGAATGTTTGAATTTTCGCATGGTTGCCATGGCTTTCAACGACTACTTCGATGCACATTAATATGAAAACGAGTATAGCTCTTGTAGTAAGCTTTTACCTGATGTAATATATGAATAAAGGGTTGCTTTATAATAGACTAAGTGACACTATAAAACAGAAATATATATTTTTTATACATTTCCTCTAAATAGCCAAATTTTTATTGTCAGCCAACATAGCTAGGTATTTACTCAAATAACCTTCAACAATTAACAAACAATTTTTGAGCCATTCTGTTTATCTTCGTATTAATTATTTGCTAGTGACTAGTGAGAGGGTGAGGCAGCTGTAAGCAAATAGGAGCAAATAGGAAGTAAAATGCTGCAAAATCAACAAACCGTTCTTTCATCACAAAATACTTTACCTCATTGGTCACAATTGGTCCATTGTATTTTCCCAATCAGCATAACTTAATCATTAGGTAAATTGGTCTCCGAGAATCTGCAAGAGATGTGATCATTGTGTTTTGAAATGGAAGCACTTTGAGAATAAAAGTTTCGTAAGTTATTTATAAAATTATATGAGAGACATGTTACGATAATTCCGTAATGTATGGATTTTGCACAACTCTTTAATTATCTCGCCACAAGCATTTCTTCTAAACCGCAATCATCAAGGGCGGATTTGTTGCAGGTAGAAACGAAAATAGCTCCAGAATTAAATTATATATAATTAGGTTTATTGTTTCTGTTTGGTGGTGTCTGTTTTCTGACTTAACACCCGTTATTATTTTAATTTTTGTCAAAAATAGTAGACGCGTTTAATTATCTGAAAGTTGGTAAAAATGTTTCTTTTATAACAGCGCGATGGTATCTTCAATTCCAATAACTTCCGGATATAAACGTCATTCAATTGTCTCATTTCCGGTGATTTTCATGAACGTCCGATGATAAATCTCGGGTGAGTTTGTTAAAAACCACTGCATTGTATGAAAATAATAAGCCAATCCGGCCTCGATC